TTCTTACAGTAATTCACATTTCCATAGTATTTCAGAGCTTCTAAACACTTCTGATTTTATTCCCTTTTTAAAATTTATTTTAATGAGTACATATTAATTATATGTAATAATAGTTCGGTTATGAAACTTTCACACATGTATATGTGTTCTGACCATACTCACACATATCCATTAACTTCTCTTATATTACTTCCATATATGCAATCCCTTCATAGCATCTGGAGGTCAGATATTATTAAATATGATAAAATACATAAAACATTTAGTTTTTACTGCTAATTATTAAATTTGTCATTAGCTCCTCCACCCACATTTGTTTCATTTTCTTTTGTTTTGAGATAAAGTCTTAATATGTTGCTCAGGTTGGTCTCAGATTTCTGGGCTCAAGCCATCTTCCCACCCATCATGCATCACTAAAGATATTCTTTTCCTTGAATAACAAGAGTTATATCTAGATGCCTCTGCTCATTTTAGCAATAAGGGGAGATGGTTCATTACCTGGTCTGTTAAGGAAACTGCAAGGCATTAGACTCACATGGATCCTCAGCTGCTAGGAGTATTAAGAAAATGTTACAATAGGGGGAAATTGACAATGCAGGCACCACAGATATTTTTAGACCATGCTGCAAAGGATGTACATCTTGGGTTTTGTTTAGGGTTGAGCACAGCGGGGGATAAGTCTGGATTATTTTATAAGATTGCCAATCAGAAAGTCCATGCTAAGTACCTACTCTGTTGCCATCTTATACAAGGGGCAGTATGGGAAAACCAAGATAGGTGAAGTAGATTTCCCAAACTTTCAAACAGGAGCATGTGTGATATAATCTTTTTCTTGGGTAGGAAGCAGTTTGATAATTCTGTAAGAACTGTGGCTGTGTCTATTTATTGCATCAGAAATTCTACAAAAAGCATTTGTTCCATGTATGTATATTAAAATGTAAACCATGTACCACCAAAGACAAGCACACTGCTGTGTGCTAAAAAGACTATCACTGAGACACACTCTTGGGTGAGAGAAAATTAAGGCTCAAAAGTTTTTGTAGCAAGATGCTATATGTGTATGTTTAGAACATACAGTCGTGTCTATACACCTACCCCACTGGAAGGGCATGCTGGGAATGATAATGGATTGTATATGATAAGAGATGAATGGGAAAATGGAACATTTGCATTTTTACCCTTTTATGTTCTTATGAGTACAGATTGGTTGAATGGTTTAGCCATATAAATAACTTTGTTATTATTTGTTTAAATGTAGGATCTTTCTTAAAGGTCACATAGCCTGGGAAGGCTACAGCCAGCACTGACACCCCAGACTGGGGCTGCGGAGCTTGTCCTCTGGATCCCAGCACACTGCTTCTTGCTAGTGCCCTCTTAAGCTCAAGGAGTCTCTGTCATTTGCTAGCAACTTATGGAACTTATTCCATGTTTTTTTTTTCTAGAAAATGAATCAGAATGTCTAAGGGCCAATTGCTTCATGAATGTGTTTCTCCTCTAGAAGAGGGCTCTGTACTTCATTTGCTGCCATCTTGGCTTTTTTATGAAGATGATACTGTGGCTTAGCCAAGAAAAGTGAATGACCCTGGGCCAGGAAACACAAACTATGATTTCCAACAGGACAAATTACCTTAAGGAAAAGGCATTAGGATAGCTTGCAGCATTGGGGCATGAAAACAGTGCCATTAGCCAATTTGGTCAATGGGCAGGTGCAGGAAATGGCAGATAAACCCAGCCAAGATCTATAAATATACCCCAGTATCACTGTTTAAAACCCACAAAATAAATGAGCAAGTTAGAAAACTTGGCAGCTGTGAGCATCTAGATGCAAACTTTCAGTTCTCAGTTTAACTTATGATGTCTTCTGTGAGTCTGCATGCTGTTGAACTGTTTGAAGTTTCTGTTTCCCCAGAAGTCTGATGGACAGCAAGCATCCTCTCTCTTGGCTCTTTTACAGAGTTGTGAGACACTAATGTGTCAAAGAACATACTTTGAAAATGCTAATCTTCATAAAGAATGAAAGGCTATTGTGGAGGTCTCTGAGGCTAATCTTAAAGAAAAGTTATTTGAGACATGAAGGCAGGAGCAGCATCAGCACTTCAGATAGCAATGTAGGCATACAACCAAAGAAAAGCTGTCTTGTAGGTCATTGATTCTGCTTCTCCCTTGTTAAAATAGTGAGCAAAAGATCGAGAGTCAGTATCTGCAGAACATTGACAGTGCCATGCATAGACAGAAGTGTTAAGAGAGTAACGTGTGCTACAGGGACCCTGACTGAGGGGCTTGCTGGGCTGTGAATGTTGATCAGGGTCCTGGGAGGAAGCTGATGAGAAACTTAGGAAGAAATTAGGGCAGAGGTGGGGGGTTGGACTTCAGTGATCCAACTCCAGGATGGCCCAGTGCCTCAGAGGAGCAATTTCAGGGTGGCCAGGGACTTGGATAGCACAAATGACAACTTCCTAGAACGGTCTGTTCCAGAATCCATAGAGCGAAAGGAAATAGCCTGGCCTCATCCTGAGTAAGTTGACAGGAACCAGGATAGGAAGTATTTGTAGTGGGACAAGTACTCATAGCATCACTAAGTCTCTTTTGAGTGGAAGAAGAAAAATGGAAAAAAAAATCAGTGCACATGGTCAGTCAGTTTCCATAGTGTGGGAGAGTGGGGGGAGCAGATCAGCAGAGGGAGATGGTGCGGTCTGGAATGGGGGCGCTGCACTCATTGTCCTTCGTGGCTGCACCGACCTTGCCAAATGACCTTGGAAATGTCATTTTTTTTCCTGTGAATCCTGAATTCCTTTGTTTTAAAGAATTTTATCCCTGTCTGGTCTGTCATTATGAGAATTAAACAAAAATATTCTTAGCATGCAGCTCCTAGACCGCAATGGCAAATGAAATACCAATTTATTCCTTTATTTTGAAGAGAGATTTAGAAAATCTCCAATGAAATAAGCCAGTTGGAAATGTAGAGCACTGAAAAAAGCAAGCATGATTTAGCCTGTAGGCACAGGTAACTAGGCTTTTTTTTTTTTTTTTTTTTTTTTTTTTTTTTTTTTTGGGTTTTTTTTTTTTTTTTTTTTTTTTTTTTTTTTTTATAAGCAGAGAACAAAGGCTAAATGAGCAGAGAAGAAAAATCCTACAGACAGAAGAAAAATTAGAGGCCAGGAGAGAAGGAATGTAAATATGTTGCAAAAATGTGATCTCCTCACACAGCTCTAATGCCTTAATGCATCAAGGTGAAGTTCCTCTCAACCCTTGTAGGTTGGGAAGACACTGAGCAGCATGACTCAGCTTGACTCATTTTCCTGAGTGTCTGTGACACAAGATAAGTTTTATGCTCAGTTGCAGTTGCTTGCCTTGGTTGTCAGCTTTCCTGGTGTGTGTATGAAGAAATCAAGAGTTAATAGTGATTTCTTTTTAGTTTTGATTCCAGCTTTTATTATTTTTGAAAAGATTCTTCTCATATGATACATCCTGACCACATTTTTCCCTCCCTCCACTCTTTCTAGCTCCCTCCCCTTCCCCTCACCCCCATTCCCTCCCATCTCCCATCAGAAAAGAGCAGGCCTCAGAGAGACAACAGCCAAATATGACAAAACAAGATACAGTAAGACAAGGCAAAGGCCCTCATACCGAAGCTGGGCAAGGCAACCCACCAGGAGGAAGAGTCACAAAAGCAAGCAGTCAGAGATACACCCACTCCCACAGTTAGCTGTTCCACAAAAACACCAAGCTAACAGTCATAGTATACATGCAGAGGACCTGGTGCAGCCCCGTGCAGGTCCTGTGCTTGCCACGTCAGTCTCTGTGAACCCATATGACCCTGCTTTGTTGGTTCAGTAGCCCATGTTCTCCTGGTGTTCTCCCCCTCTGACTCATACAATCTTTGTGCCGCCTCATCCGAGGGATTTCCTGAGCTCCAAGGGGAGGGAAGCAATGGAGACCTCCAATTTAGACTCTCTTTCCACAAGTCTGGATGTGGGTCTCTGCATCAACTCCCATCTACTGCTAGAGGGAGCCTCCTTGATGACAACTGGACAAGGCACTGATCTATGAATATAGCAGGATACTATTAGGAATCATTTTACTGATATTTTTTTCTAGACCTATCATATTTGGTTCTACCCTAGGTCTCTGGGCTATCCAGTCTCCAGTTTCTGGTCATTCAGTGTCAGGAATGGGCTGGCTCCCTCTTGTGGATTGAGCCCCAAGTTAAATCAGACATTGGCTGAGCCACCATTTCCTCAACATATCTTGCAAGCAGGACAGACTGTAGGTTGAAGGTTTTGTGGCTGGGTTGGTGTCCATGTTTCTCTTTCAGTGGCCTGCAGAGTACCTTCCTACACCAAAGAGACTAGAACAGAGGGGTAGAGGCTCCATGGAGGCACCAACTCAACCTCTCCATATTTAATGAGATGTGTGGATGTTGTCCCTCCTCCTCCCTCCCCTGTCAGTTTGCATAAAACAATCCTCTGTCCTAACATTGGTCTGGGTTGTTTGGGGACCTCCATGGGACCCCTTCAGCCAACAACTCAACCAAATATAATTCAGTCCAATAGCAATTTCTTTAAATCCTAAAAGTCCACAGGTGAATGACAATTATACGTGGAGTAAAGCACAGGGTTAGAAAGAAGATAAGGAAACCCAAGAGGTGTGTCAGATTAACATAGTCTTTACCAAGAACAACACAGAGAATTCCTGTTTCTGGACGAGAGAGAGAGAGAGAGAGAGAGAGAGAGAGAGAGAGAGAGAGAGAGAGAGTAATATGGGGGATTAAATCATAACAGGTTGAAAGTGAAAGGGAACTGTGAACTAGTTTGCAGGTGGGTAAACTGAACTAAAAGAAAGGACTTGCTTGAGACAGTAGCAAGTGAAGAGCCAAACCCAAGTTTCCCGACTCTCAGTCTGGGGGTTCATCTGCTATAGAACTCTTACTGGGGAGAGTACTTGTCTGAGTTCAAACACTTGCACAAAACTAATCTGTATGCCCTCCTCCCTTTCTCTAGGGCCAAGTGCTTTCGGGGCAAAAAAGTCCTTGGAGATTATGACATCAAGGTGGAACAGGTAATCAGCCCTCTATCATGTCAGAGTGAACAATCTAGTCCTGGCCAGTGGAGTGCAGTGTCCTCACTGGGCTCTCGACTCTGCACCTCCTGTTATTTGCTTAACTCAACAGTTCAGAAACAGTGTGGTTCTCCATGGTCTCTTGCAATGCAGGGTCCCCAAACCAAGAAGTCTTAAAGCAATATCTTCCTAGGATACTGGCCACACCTCCATGCTGTTGGTGGCAGTGTAATTCTGGTTGGGTACATGTCTTCTGTTCATTGTCTGCCTACTCTGACCCTGAGGCTGTACTTCAGAGGGCATCTAGAAAAGAATATCCCCTTGTTTTTTATAGGGAGCTTGAAAGGCTGTTTGTTTGTTTTACTTCCTCTGCCTCTTGCTCCATGGTAATAGAAAATTAGGTCCTTTGTGGGGAGATGTCCTATTTAAATAACATGTTTTCTATGTAATGATAGAAGGTATTCCTTATTCATGTGCTAGGATTTACAGAAGACTATGATACTTTCCTGCCTATCATTACATTGATTAATTGATGGATTGATTGATTGATTGATTGATTGATTGATTGATTGATTGATTTTTGCAAAATGATCTCACTAGGTGGCCCTGGCTAGCCTGGAACTTGATATGCAGACTTAGAGAGATCAGCCTACCTCTGCCTCCAGAGTGCAAAGATTAAAGAGGTACATCATCATGCCCAGTTAATATTTCATTTTTAAAACAACTTGTTTGATATTCTGGATTGATTAAAAACAAAAACAAAAAAACCTACCCCTGTGTTGGAGACAGAGGAAATGGAAACCTGAGCAGGACAGGTACCTTGCTTGACATACTGTGTCAGGGACAGGGAGGAGGAAACCCAGTAGTCTAACCCAGAACCCGGTGCTTTCATGAAGAGACTGAGAAAGGAGATGCTTGTACTGGTCACATTCTGTCCCTGTAGAAAGGCTCAAAGGATGCTGCGCTGGGAGTCTCCTGAAAAGTCCAGAAAAGTCACCTAACTCAGGCAGTTTTCTCCTTGGGTAGGTGGGAATAGTGATCTCTACCAACTGACTCAACAGGTTTCCTAGAGTATTGGGTGAAATCTAATGGAAAATACGTAGAAATTAAATAAATGCTTGATGTTGTGGTGGCTGTTGTGTGGAGGACTGAGGCTCACTGCTGTACTGTTTACTCTTCAGGCGGAATTTTCAGAGCTTAACCTGGTGGCCCATGCGGATGGAACCTACGCTGTGGACATGCAGGTGCTCCGGAATGGCACAAAGGTTGTCCGGTAAGGGCCTTTCTGTTCTTGGGGTTGCTGTCACCTCTGACTTGATGGGGGTGGTTTCAAAGTCAACTTGAGATAGTCCCACTGTGTGTTACAATCGTACTCCAGTGTCAGAGAAAACAACCTGAAGTTTCACAGAATCACTTAGAGGTAGTTGAATCCTGTTAGGACTTCTTCCTTCATTCAAGTCAACATGGGTTTGTGCTTCTGTCTTCTCAAATAGTTCCCCTGGAAAACTGGGTGCCTTTTAAAACACCTGACCATCCTATTTATGCCGATTTTCTTAGATTCACTCAGAGTTGGCAGCAAAGCCTTGTGCTAGATGTATGTCCTTTTGACACTCATCCTGTGGCCTCTCTTTATTCCTCATTACCAACAACTAATAGGTCTGAAAGGAAAATCAAGTATTGGAATAGACATTTTGATGAAAGAAAATGACCAGGTACTGAGAATTTCCATGCCAGGTGGTGTCCTGGGCACCTAGGTGGTGGTTTCAAAGTCTGGGATATTGATATATGTGCACAGCAGTTCCTTCAGGGAGGGAGTAGGAATTCTAGATGAGAGAAATGGTTTCCATTCTCCCCAGGAACTTAATGTTGCTTTAGGTTTTCAGAAATAAGTCTTGTTACAGGAGGGGTCCTGGGCCTATACCACTCTCTTCCTCACCTCAATCACAGGACCCTGACACTTAGGAGGCTTGTATCTAACAGGATCTGGGTCAGTGACAGGAAAGGCCAGACTGGGGGTGTCTGGGACCTAACATCAGGAAAGTGGGCTTGCCCTTTCTGGAATATGAGGGACAATGAAAGACAAACAGATGCCCGTTCAGGTGTGAAGTGAGCTTAGGGTGGTCCTACAGCAGGATAGACAGGCTTCTCCATCCATGGGTCAAATGTGTCAGGGAAATGCACACATAGGCAGGCAGTGACAGAAGGTCCAGCAGCAGGGCTCCAGGGCAGGTGCCAATGGGGGAACTTGAATTGTTCCTATAACTGGGATATGAGGTTGGGATTTGATGTCAGGGATACAGGTGGGCTTCAGTGTCCAACAAGAAAGGCCTATTGGGGGTATCTGGATTTCATATCAGGTCCCAGAACTTGGGACAAAGGTCAGAGTACCCTCAGCAGATATCATACCATCTTGGTAATAAAATGTCTGAATGACCGAGGAAAGCGCCTTTAGCCTCACTAGAGCTGATCTCTGAGTTGGGTTGGGCTGGATCTGTAGGTGGGGGTTGGATGGGTGCCTGGGCAGACGACCAGGTAGGTCATTGTACATGGTGTCAAATGCGGAGTCGCAGAGCCTTTGGGGCAGATGCTGCCATAAACTGCCTCTCTGGGAAGGTCTCTGAAGCTAGGGCATGAAGACAGGCAACCTAGTCCTCTAAAGCAGCTATGGCTAGGAGCTTTGCTGGCTAGAGGTGAAAGCAGGGAAGCTTTCCCATGCATGGGAACATTCCGTACTCTAAGTGCTTCCTGCAGCCCCGTTGCTCAACCTCAGTTCTGCGAAAAATATTTGTACCCCTCCCTAGCGTCCGTTTTGGAAGAACAACATTGGGAAGTTCTTTGGCATCTGCCCTCGGCCAGCGTAGTGCCTTGCTCTCCTGAGGCCTGATGAGGGCATTGCCTATTTTAAGGAGCAGCTTTAAGGAAGTGAACAGAATGTTAAGATCGGAAATCTGGTAGTAGTATGGTCTTCCAGGACTTGACTTGAGCATCATCTCTGGAAGCACAGGAGATTCAGGCTTTCACACCACCCCATGAAGACAGAGAAAAGTCTCTCTCACTTAAGGCGTGGGGCTCTAAACCTGTGCTAGAAAAAGATAGCATTTAGTCTGAAGGAATGGGACAGATTCAGAAACACAGTTCTCAGATCTCCATTGGAAAGAGTCATGATACTTTATTACCCCATAAATAATAATGCCAGGAGTAATAACGCCAGGGTCATGGACTGGGTGGTCCTTGACATCTCTGCTGTCTTAGGCTTTGGAAATATGTCACTTGAGGCGCTACTTAATAGAAACCTGCCTCTGTATTCTTACCAGGTCCTTCAGACCAGACTTTGTGCTCATCCGACAGCATGCATTTGGCATGGCGGAGAATGAGGACTTCCGCCACCTGGTCATTGGCATGCAGTACGCAGGCCTCCCTAGCATCAACTCACTGGAGTCCATTTACAACTTCTGTGACAAGCCATGGGTGGTAAGGCACCTCCCCCCAGTTCCCCAGAGTACTTCCAGCACTCCATTAGTAGCATCAACTGAGATCCAGGCTTGGGCGCTGGGAGGCTGGGTAGGGTAGGCCATCACAGTAGCATGTATCAGATGTGCTGGGCTACACAGTTCTGCCGTAGAGTAGACCTCTGACCTCTCTACCATGCTGCACAAAGATCCTGTGACAAAATTCCTTCAAGTCTGTGGGTATTTACTTGATCAGGGGCCACAGTGATAAAAGTGCCTGCCTTTTGCCTCTTAAAATGGGTAAACTATTGGAAGAACCTAAAACCGATAGAGAAATCCAACTCAGAGGGATATTAGAGACAGAGTTCTACCAGCATTTCAACAACCTCAGAGTCAGATTCATCCACACATGTGAACCCAGCAGTTAATGTGAGCTTGTCATTTCCTTTGAGATACTGAAATCTTATTCATTCGTGGGAAGAAGAAAGAAAATGAGGCCCATAACATCTCTTGCTGTTTGGTGCCATCCTCTGAGATTATTCTATGTAATTTCATTTAATCTTCACAATAAGCTTACCAGGGAGCTATTATTTTTTTTTCACTTTTGTACAGAGCAATAAGACCCAAGAAGGATTAAGTCACTTGCCAAACTTACAGAGCCAGGATTTCTGTACGTCACACTGTCTCTCCCATGAAGTGAAGAAGAGCTGGCTTGGTTTTCTCTTCCACAGCCAGTCTGGAAACCTTGGAGGGCTGTGCAAAGTATTGAACGAATGAAGCATGGGATCTGGGATGACTGGGGACTCTTCTCTGCTAGTTCTGCTGCCCCAGGATGGACTCATGGAAGGAAATGCTTGCCCCTAATCATGTCCTCTTCATCTTGTCTTTCAAAAATCAAATTTCACACATGCTAGATTGCCAAGGCTCACCAGGCTTATTGTGACATTTCTGAACCTTAAACCTCTCCAGTCTGGGAGTCAGAGGGGCATTCTATAACCACATGGGCCCATTTTTCTCAAATGGACAGCTTTTCCTGGGTACCAGAGAGACATTACAGTGTAGGAGGAAGAGGTGTGGACAAAGAGGAGGAGGCTTGAGAGCTGTTGTGGTTAAGGAGAGGTTGGGTTCCTAAGTTTCACTGTGGCTTTTCCCTGTGTGTGGCCTGTGACATCTGGAATCCTACTGTTCTGCAGAAATTGGCTAAAAGGGTGTTGTGATTTGAGTGTGATGCCTATCTCAGAAAACACATATGAGACATCTATCATCTCTTTTCTAGGAACCTCCCATTTCTCCTCAGTCACATGATCCACCTCCTGAAATGTGTCCTAACCCACCCCATCCCCACTTCCTGTCAGAATTTTGTTCTCATAACTACACAAGCTGATTCCGCTGGTATCAACTTTTACTGAATAATTTAATGACACCGCCCTGTGACTAACCATCTTTTGTGCCCCACTTTTGGTGTCTACAAACTGTAACTAATAGTATATGCTATTACTTTGCCAATGTGGTTATTATAGTTCCCTGATATCTGAGACCTCCTAAAGAGAATGGTCCCATGCTTTCTTTTCCTAAACTGTGGCAGAGGCTAAAGAAAGGAGGAACAGAAAGATCCCTCACGGGATCTGGGATCTGGTGAGGGGTCACATTCTCACCCATTCACAATCCCAGCACATTGCCTTTGGCATTGCATGAGAACAACAGGGCTTTCTGGCCACACACCAAGTTCTCCCTGCAGTCTCACTAAGCTGCTGCCACACAAATGACATTTTACATATTGTTTTCAGCTTGTCAGTAGAAGTGGACACATTTAATGATGGTGAGGGGAGTGTCCCTCTGATATGATAACTTTGATTCATGTTTCCTAAATTTCTTACTGTGGGTGTACTTGATATTAAGAGAGGCATCCAGTGGGCTAGAGAAGGCTATCCCTTGCACCAGAATGACTCTGAGCAAGTCTGCTGTCCTCAGAGCTGGCCAGGGCAGCCATTGGGATTTCAGAAGGAGAAATAGTTCTATCAATGAAAGCAGAAATCCAGAAAAAGCAAGAATGCCACCATCCCAGATTTCTCCATTGTAGCTGAATTCTGGGTTATTTGGAGATTGATAGGCCTGGGTTAAACAAAAGCATTTAATATCTAGGAGAGACAGGGATAACACATTATTTAAATAGGACCCCAATCCCCATTTCTTTAATGAATTATTTCTTGAGTCATTAGATAAGTGGTTTTAATAAGCATCTTTCTGTTCACAGCCAACACCACACCGGCTCTTAGATTCATTTTTGGTCTGAATAGAGGAAATAGTCCTTATCAGATATTACCTTTGTTTAATTGGTAACTGTGTACTTGCAACTTAATCTTAGTTTCCAGGGAGGCAGAGGTTTGATGCCAAGTCCAGTCCATTAATCAGACAGGGAATGGGGTAGGGAGGGTAGAGTGGGCTCTCAGGGACCCAACTGGAGCCTGGGAACTGGCTGTCATTTTAGTCTTGGCTGTCCCAGGGCTCTGGGAGTCTGCCGGAGGCCTTCCTGGCATCCGTGTAGTTGTCTGTGTAACTCACCCACACGTAGGGAAGAAAGGGCCCCACATGTCTTGGTGCCATGCCAGAGTGTGGGCTGCAGCAGGACAGAGGTCTTTAGGCAGAGCTGGCATCAGCTCCCTGGGGAGGCTGGAGAGCCTCAGAAGCCTAGGCAGAAGAGGAATCTTGCCAGGTCCAGGTGGGCAGGTAGATCTGAAGATCAGGTGAGGTAGTAGGAAGAATTGGAGAAGGAAGGAAGGAAAGAAGGGGCTGAGGGTCAACCAGAGCAAACTGAAGAATCCAGTGATGAGAAGCAAGCAGAGAACAACAGGGGATGCAGTGGCTCGGAATAAAGAAACCCGGGCACTCTCCCAGAGTAGCTTCAATACCAGGTGTGCTCCCAGGCTCCCTAACCCGTCTCCTCAGACCTGGTGTGGAGGCTGAAATCTCTCTCAACAATTCTAAAGGAAGTTTTAGACCTCTGAAGTTATCAGTTCCCCACAAAAGGACCACAGTGTGGTGGAGGAGTTTAGGGGAAATGCAATAAAAGATGCTCTTCCTAATGCACTGTGTGAGAAACTGAAAGAACAGACCCTTCTCTGCGCACATCTGAACAGGGAGCCGGGAAGGGAGGGGCCTTTTGTCCAAAAGCAACTATTATGTTAAGAGGAAACACCAGGAGACTCCACTTTGCTAATAACTGTCCCTGAATAGCTCATACACTAAGATCCCTTACAGAGAATGGGACCTGAACTTTGGGAGAAAAGGTCCTAGCTTTCCTGTCTCTGACAACTGAAGAGCAGGGTTGGTCCTACAACTCTCCTTTGTAGCTGACCATGCTATTGGTGGTTTGGAACCTGAACTGAGCCCACTACAGGGAAGATGCTAGATTTCCCCTGCTGCCCATGCACTGGGGTTGGCATTGTGGGATAAATGTGGACTAGGTGGCAAAGATCTGTTTCCCATGAGAAGTACATTGCCTCTGTAGACCCTGAAAATTAGCTACTCAAAGGATTCAGGAGAAATACAGATTGGGAATGAAGGATCTGGCAGTGATCCTTGCTCAAGAGTGTGACCTCAGGCAGCTAACCTCTCTGTTCTTACTCTTTGTTTTTGAAAGGGCAAGGAGTGCTGGTCATGTACCAGAAGCCTCTCAGCCCCAACACTGTGAATATTTTTGCCACAGATAAAGGCTCTAGCAAGTTCAGTTGTTGTAATTCCAACAAGTCAGTACCAGGAAGATGGATGGATCTGTACGTTTTACCACTGTGACCCTCCAGTCTTCCTGTCACCTCTTGTGCAGACTCTGGTGTCCCTGTATAGCACATGGGAGGGTTGCCATTTATTTGCCTGGTGATAGAACTTCTGAGACTTGTTATGTTACCTCTTCAGCTTTATCTTGCTCCATTACTCAGAAGAGCATGTGTTTGGAGTAGGAGTTCAATTTTCAATCCTAGCTTCACCTCTTTTTACTTCTATTATTGATTTTTTTCCCCTTGAGATAGTATTTTATCATGTAGTCCAACACAATGGCCTGGAGCTCACTCTGTAGTCCAGGCTGTCCTCAGACTCAGCAACCTCCTGCCTCCACTGAGTGCTGAGATTAGAGATGTGCACCACTTTCCCAGCCCCATTTCTGTGATTCAGGTGAAATTCCCTCCCCCTTCTCAGCCTTGTCAATATGAAAAGAAGATTGGATGGAAACCATTAAAATTAAGCAGGCCCTCAATGAATACCAGCTTTCTCTTTGCCTTCCTCTACTAAAGCATATGTCCTTGAAATTGCATGTACCTTTCCTTTCTCAATTTTGTCAGTTTATTTAACACAATGTCTTCTACAGAGAAAAATGCTCTGTTATTTATTTGACAAATCGATGTTTTGTCTGGTCCAGAAGTTGAAGATACAATGAAATTCTTTCTTGTCTTTTGCAGTTTGCCCAGATGGTAGCCATCTTCAAGACCCTGGGAGGGGAGAAATTCCCACTCATTGAACAGACATACTATCCCAACCACCGAGAGATGGTAGGTGGCTATGTGGGGCCTTGACTGTGCTGTTCCTACTCTTGGCCACATGGTGACTCTGGAGGTCTGGCAAGGGCCTCAGCAATTACTCAGGTAGCAGCAGAGCTGCTTAGAGCAACAGAAGTCGCCAGATTCTAGCCAACAGCTTTTTGTTTTCCGATTCTGGGGACAGAGTAGAGAAAAGCAGAAATAAAGGGTGTTTTAATGTGAGAGAGTAACAAATCTGTGAACCAACGATGAGGAGGTTTCACAATTTTGAATATAGCTCTTGCTTTGCCATGTGTCTCTGGGGTCATTACATATTCTCACCATTGTCAATTTCTCAGCCATGCTGAGTGGGCATAGTTGCCCTTGAGCAGGATGTCTGATAGGGCATGCATATGATTTCAAAGAGATTCCTCAAATAATAGCCCTCTTGTGGGTATGAAGCCTCCTGAGATAGAAGCTGTTGCTTTTGTTATTCTCCACTAGACTTCACTACCTCCAAATTGTGACAAAGCAGAATTAATCTTATGCCTTCTCTGAGTTCACCACTGGAAGGAAAAGAAAAATGGTTGGTTGAAAGCTGTGAGGATGTTTCATACACAGCAGCCTGGAGGTTACTGTCCATCTTTCTTCCCACCCCATACCCTCTGCCCAAGGATGGTGTGGATTATTACTGGATGTTCTCACTTGGAGACTCACTGCCAGTGCTGTGTTCTGGGACAGAGATCATGTTTGATCCCCTCCCACTCTCTCCTCCAAAGGGGATCTCTATCATTGCATTTAAATCTAGTGCCTTCTTCCAGCACAGCACACATGGCCCTGTCACCAGCTGACCATATATCAAAATGAAAAACAGTCCTGAGTTGTCAAAAGACCTGATGATCCCAACCATCTTTTCCAGAGCTTTCCCCAGGAAAAGGTTCTGGGATATTGAGCTCTGTGATTTAATAAATTATTGAGGCCGTTATTAGTGTTTCCCCATTTAGACAAACCAAGAAGACTTACAGATGCTGAGGAGCCTTCAGGGGCTGGTAGCTAGAGTCCAAGTCATAGAGGTAAGGGGACTTAGCTGAAGGGTGGAAATATTCAGGTAGCTGCGAAGCAGCTTAGAGCTGCTTTATCATCTGGCAGGGATACCTGCTGAAGAAACTTGAAGCAAGTGCAAGCTGTGTTCCCCATTAACATCTTTTCTCCAGAGGTTTTTTGTTTTTGTTGTTTTTGTTTTTTTTTTTCTATCTATCCTCTACTGAAATTTGGCCTTAAAAGAAGACCATGATGCTCTGGGGTCACTTTTATTGTTGTTTTATCTTTCTGTTTTTGCTTAAAAACAAAGTTCTAAGGTAGGAGCAAAGACATTAGCAACCTAAAGGAGGCTGAAGAAAGTCCCTGGACACCATCTGAAGGCAGTAGAGATATTAAACCTGGGGGAGGGGGATGCTTGTTCTTGTGCAGTAAGTCTTTCCTTGTTCAGAGATATATACTAACTGGGCCACACCTTCTGCCAGCAATAGTATCAGGGGACTTGAAGGGCACCAGGAAGAGTGGGCTGTGCAGCTCTCACTATGTTCTTGAAACAGACAAAAATGTGTCAGAGGATTAGGCGAAGTTGAGACAGTGGGAGTAGAGGATATGGAGCTTTAGTGTATTCTTTTCATTTCAGCCAACCAGCCCACTCAGTATACAGTTACCCATTCCATAGCATACATCACAAGGTTGTACCGTCTTACGACACTCACAGCTTCTCCCTTACCTAAGAAAAGGAACATACATTTTCCTAACTAGAGAAAACAAAGCCAGAATAAAAACTTTCAGTAATAGGTATAAACTAGACTACCAAGGCTTAGGAGACAAGGGAGAGGGACTAAGGGCAAGGCAGCTAAGTCATACTACCTTCCCCAGCCCTTAATAAGTTGTAAGCTGGAGATGTGGACACATGCTGTCGAATGTCCCACAACTGCCACGATGCTGGCCAGGCCACCCATTTGTCACTTCCTATCATCTGGCAGCAACATGGCATGTGGTGATGGTCAGAGTACCACAGAGAACTGGCTTGGTCTTCAGGACTCTTCCAAGGATGTGGTGGTCACTGGTCCCTACTAGGGCTGGATGATGTCAACATACTCCTTTCGGAGGTGTAGGTGGCCCCGGTACCAGCTGCAGATGCCATCAACATGCTTCATGCAGACATAGTGCTGGGCCTGGTACCCATAGAGCTTCCGTTCCAGCAGCCAGTCTGTCCAGAGACACTCATTGGGGGCTGAGATGGTACAGGGCACCGCGTAGCATGTGGTGATCTAGTCGTAATCACACAATATCCAAGTAAATAGTGTCCTTTTTCTGTGCTTCCTTTCACATCCTATGTGTCCTCACTGCTATCTCAACTGCCTTTGTCTTTTCCCAGTCCCAAGATCCCTCCCGAGCTCTCCTACCCCATCTCCTCGTGAACAGTATTATCTTGCCAGTGTCACTAGACTCAGCCTTGATGGCTCCATACTGCCATGACTGTAAATACTCTTCAGAGCCTTGATTTCTTTACCTTAAAACTAAAGTCTTATAGACTAAACTAAAATTTGAAAATAAACAATTTATTACACGGTCTGGAAAAGAGTACTCTCTCTTCCCGTGATCCCTTTTCTCATTAAAAACAAAAAAAAAAAAAAAAAACAAAAAACCATGTCTCATTATGTTGCCCAGGTTGGCCTCAAACTTGGAATCCTCTTTCCTGCCTTAGCCTCTCACTCTCAAGTACTGCTACTACAGTACAGTTAAGCCACCACACCTGGCTTAGATTTTCTTTAAATGGTGATTTAGTGTCATTTCAGTGTGCCCTGTGTGATTTCAGTGTCCCACCCAAAGTGTAAGTACTTTGAGACGTACTGCAGTCTATGCCTTCCTGCCCCCAACTTCCATGGTACAACTTCAGTGCAGGGAATGAGTAAGCACATGCATGTGAAAGAAAACACGGAAGACGAGACCCAAGGCCCGAAGCTTGTCCCTCACCCACAAAAGACCTTACTTGGCAGCCACAGTTCTGGTGGTAGTGATGATTCAGACTCTCCCTCTGCACCCAGGACAGGTCCTCCCAGGGCTCAATGTAGTTGCATAGGTGGATGAAGACTTTTCCATCACTGAGAATCTGGCCTTCATGGGGAGAGAGAGAGAGAGAGAGAGAGAGAGAGAGAGAGAGAGAGAGAGAGAGAGAGAGAGAGAGAGAGAGCAGTCTAGCCAGGAGACTGCTTAGGACCCCCAGGGGTCCCATCATTAAACAGCCCAGAAGTGTAACTTTTATAATGGCCTGCCTACCCTCCCTTCTCTCCTCCCTCCCTTCCTTCTATCCCCTTGCTCCCTTCCTCTCTTTCTTTCTTTCTTTTTGTGCTGAAATCATGTCCTTTGTATGCTAAACACGAGCAAAAGCTCCAGTCTCAAATGGCTTTATGACATCAGTGAAAACTTTGGACTCAATGAAGGGACCAGACAAATCCCTGTATAACCTTTAAAGCACAGATGTCTGTGTAAGGTATCTGTGTAAGGCAGGATTGTGGGATCTAGTAGAGGTCTTTTCCTTTAGCACAAAGCAGAAAGAAGGTGGGATTTAAAATCAGCCTGTAGCCCTCGGGAGACTAAGGCAAGAGGATCAAAAGCTTGAGGTCAGCCTGGGCTCCATAGCAAGACTGTTTCTTAGAGAAACAGACAAACAAACAAAAGGTACAAGTAACAACCAAACAACAAAATGACTGACTGCAGGCTTGGGAATATAGCTCAGTAACAGAGCACATGCTTAGCTTGTATGAGGGCCTGAGCTAGATTCCTATCCCAGGGAGGGAGAAAAAATCCAGACTGTGGGTAGGACTCCTCCTTTTCTATATTAACCATAAAGCAGGTCACAGGAGCTTTTGGGTAGAGGGTAGGAATAATCAAGCTGTTGCTGAGATTAAATAAGGGACTATATATAAAGAGTTCTTGGTATAGCTATTGGCCCATAGGAAATGTCACTCCTTTTCAATATCCACACTGGCCTCTCCCACCCAATTGATATCTGTCTTGATGAGTATTTGCCCATAGTTCATTTCAGGGAGAAATTTTCTCTCAGGGAGAAAGATGCAGGATACTATGTCATTGATAAATGGCACAGAAAAAACTACAATAGTCACAGTGTTCTGGCCACAAAGAACTTTTACCTATCAATGAAGGGACCATTGGCATCTTCTGAAGACATGGCACTACTGATACTTTTTTGTAGAGTTATGTTTTCTCCATCCTTGGTTATTCTTGACCTCTTCAAGGACACCCCCACCCCCGCCACACACCCACCATGTTCACTTTTCCCTGACATACTCAGTGCCTCAGTGAGGGTGAGACCCACAAAGTGGGTGCTCAGCAAAGGGGTGGAGTATCAAGAGATGTAAAGAGACTAGTCTGCTTATGAAGGAACTGGAAGATACAGTGACATGTCCTGTCTCTGTAGAGGCTGCCCAGGGCAGCACAATCCTGCATCCTTAGAGCTGAGGAGCCCCTTTCATTGTGTCCTCTAGTTCCTGTCACTCACTCTTCAAGAGCCGTGTCTGGACTATGAAGTCTTTGAGACTATGACCTATTCCTGAATCTCCACTTTACTGCCCAGGCCTGGCAGTATATAGTAGATAGTCATCCACTGGCTCCCTGGATAGAGTGGAGCTCCTTCCTGTTCTCCCTGTGGTCAGGGACTTTTGTTTTCCTTGATCCTTGACTGATGTTTTCCATCTTGTAGGCCAGCGTAGAGCTTACTCAAACAGTGAAGCTTCCCTACCTGTTCACAACCACACCAGCACCCCTTTCTCAGAATTCCATAATACTTTAGTACTGTGTCTTTTTATTCCCCCAAAATATTCTTAGGTATACTGGATGGATGGCTCGTTTACTGTTCTGTCTCAACTAGTTCAGTATGGAGGAGGCTGGTTCGCTGAGGTAGAATTGTAGAGTCAAGCTTGTACACAGGGCAGAAATAGATACACAGGAAACACCTTCAGGAGACGTATTTGGGCTCAAGATGCCAAAAGTCTCTTACCAGTTAATGCTTTCAAAATGGAACTAGCTATCTTAGATTGGTAGAGCAATCTTTCCTTAAAATAGTGGAGCAGTGGCCAAGATTGCTGTAATGGGGACTCCTGTGTTGAAAGGGAGTTTCATTGCTCCCCCCCAACTAAAAGGCCATGGTCACTATCACAACTCTGCTTAGCCCCTTAACTTACCAGTTAAAAGATATTGCTTCTGGCTGTTGGTTTCTAGTTTCACACCACAGAGAGATGAGTCAAATGGTGTGTAGACATACTGAACATCCTTGGCCTTCTCGAACCCTTTAAACATCTGAAAGACAGTTACAGAAGAGCAGCAGTGCATCAGGGCAGGGCAGCAGGTTAAAAGATGCTCATTTCTTTCCAAACGTTAAGCAAAAGTCAAATTCAAGTTGGGTGCACAGATGACCTCACTGGTGTGTTTGTTTATTTTTAAATAAGTCTAAACCTTGATTTATTCCAGGGAGGTGGGGAGGTCCCACGGACAAAGAGCTATAGGACAGGCTAGACAGTGAGTCCCCACCCTGAACAGTCACTTGGTTCCTATGGTTCCTGCCCATACTAGCTCATATAGTTCCCCTTCATCACCTTCCTCAGGAGACCTGAGTCTGTTACCTGACTCTCACCAGGTTCATCCCTCCCATAGCACAAGCCCCACCCCTCCATCAGACCATCATGGCTCAGCCCCAGTCCTGCCCCATGTACCTTTATCTGTTTGATTTCATACCGGATCATTTTTTGAGTGTCAGTAGGGTCTTCACTGGCAGGAACTACCTTCTCACTGGAGATTTTGGCCCGGATTACTGCACAGGGAAAAAAGTGTGGGGGAGAGGGGGACTTCAGCACTGTGGGAGTGTGCAGTCTCAGGTCTGGATGGCCTGGAGTCCTCTGAGTATCCAGAGACTGGCTCACATGTTTTTGGGTTCTTAGCAGTATGATGTATATGAGAGAAGGGGCTTGGAATTTATTCTGCAGTGGTTGCCAGGCTTCAAATCCTTTGGGGTTATTAGGTCCTTAAACTGTGTTTTGTCTGCCTTTTAACCTGTCAGTTTCTAGAGCTCAAGTTCTCCATAGCCCTGGGTGTATCGAGCAGAAAATAGGAGTCCTTTCAAGGCAATTGGTACCAGACCTGTCTATTGATACATCTTAGAACCTCATAACACACCTACAACTGATAGTAGATAATGTTTATGGAATTTGTAAATATCCTCACTCCCCACTGAGGAAGTTCATCTCTTGCTATCTAATCAAGAACTGTTTTTGTTTGTTTGTTTGTTTGTTTTCCTGTATTGAATGGTGAACCTAAAGCCTCACACAGGAGAGTCAAACACTCTGTCACTGAGCTACAGTCCCGGCCCTGGAAATTTTGTTTAAAAAGTTCTTGCTCTCTGTCTGACCTTGCACTAGGCATTAGGCTCATTGACAGCGTCATCGTCCTGCAGAAGATGGAGAACACTTTATAAAAAAAAAATCAGCATCCACTAGAAAGGGGGCAGCAAGGAATCAAAAAGCCTTTAGAAAATGAAGGGTGAATAGTAGTTTGCCAGGAAGTCAAAAGTGTGAAAGAGGGGTATCCACGTAGTGGGAGAGAAAGGACAAAAGGTGTTAAGTCCTGAGGTGGCAACTTCAACTGCAGGCAAGGAGGCAGGTGTTACAGTGCAAATGCCCCACCCGTTAGGAGTTCTGAAACTTATTAGATAGCTCTAGTGACAGCTAGGGTCCATCAAGCTGAGCTGACAGGGACTACTCTGGAGATCTATGATAGAATATTTATTCTCCTACAAATCAGACTTTGTACTTCCAAGGTCAACAAAGCAGCAGCAAGTCTGACCTATCAGCTGCAGCAGGAGACACCCGTCCAGGGTCGGAGCTCCACCCCTTCCCTCAGATTCCAGGTCTACAGCTTTGCCCAACACCAGTTTTCCCACAGGCAACCCCTGTTGTGGTCTTCAAGAGCCACGGACTCACCTAGAGCTGAGTGGCAGACGTGCTGCTGGGGGTGCGCAGGAGCGCAGGTGCACGCCTCACCCAGCCCCGGGGGCCGCAGCAATGCCAGCAGCCGCAGCACCAGCGCCCAGCTCAGCGCATCTAGGGAGCTCCAGGGCATGACACTGCAGAGCCCCAGCTGAGCTCGTGGGGTCTGCCTGTCGTAACAAACAGCCCCTCCAGGACTCCTCCAGAAAGCCTAGTGCAGTCCAGTCTTTATGAGGTGGCTTTAGGGCCAATCCCGCCCTTCATGGGCTCCTCCCTCCTTTGGCAGCAGGCCACCCACAGCCGCAGGACCCAAGGCCCTCTTGACCAGACCGACAGACCCAGTAATGCAGAGGGAAGCGGGCAGATTCCGAAAGAGGCAGCAGCCTGAACGGAGATGGAAGACACAGTGTTGAGGGCAGAGAGAGAAAAGCAAAGACCAGCGCAGACACAAGAAGGCTCAAAGATGAGGGACTGAGGCTCCTGCAAGAGGAGCAAGTGAGGGGGAGGCATAGACACAGGGAGACACAAGCCAAGTCAGAGGCAGACAGAATTACAACAGGCAAAAGAGACAGTGACAGAGGAGGACGGACCCCTCGCTGAGCTGCATACTGGGAATGAGACAAGCTACTCAGGGCTTCTTTCAGCCGCAGGAAGTGTTTTCAATGCCCTATTTATGAGGCTCCAAAGCAACAGCAAACAGTCAGGGAACAGGACAGACAAAGTTGGGGTGTGTGTGTGTCTTGGCGCTGTCGGCTAGGGGGTGGGGAAGGATGTCAGAGAAAGTAGCCAGTGCTTTAAAACCCTTTCTCACAGCCGGAGCCTCAGGCTGCAGAGAGTTGAGGGCAGTTCTTTCCATAGAGCTTAAAACCAGGGTGTCCAGTTGGTCAGGGCAAACTTTGGGCTTCTAAGCTCCTACTGCACATCATTGCCCCCTGGAGACGCCATGTTGCAGAAGGTGGAGCCGCTTAGCAAACAAGCCAGGCACTCCGGTCATTGTGACCCAAGCCTTGTCCACTGTTTGTCAGCAAAGCGCTCCAAGAATCTGAATGAAAAGAAATTCGTGGAGTGACTGCCTCAGGGAGAGCTGGAAGCTGGGTCCTGATTCTGGCTGCCACTGGGTCGTTTTGTGATCTTTGCCTCTTTGGGCCCCAACTTTTTCCTCCATAAAATAACACTGAATTACATAATTCCTCCCTTTCTTCATTTTACAGTCCAGAGCATCAAACCCACATTTCTGATCACAACAACACTCCATTTTTTCATTATAAAATCTGACTTTTCCCTTCTAGTGACAGCTATGTCCTTGAGAAGACACCAGTTAGATGGCAATGGCGATGTTTGAAAAGAAGGGAGTTGGGAGAGAACAAAATCAGACAGAGACAGGTGGTAGGTCCAGGTGTCTAGAGTCTTTCTTCACACAATGCTCAGACCAAGATTGAGTTGTCACTCGGGGGAGGGGGGGGTCTTAAAAGAATCTGCCCAGTCTTGTCACTTGACAGATGTGAGGGCTAAGAGGTTCAGTGCCATGAGGTGACTGGCAGGTGAGTGGCAGAGAGAGCTAGAATCTTCATCTGACAGTGTGCTGTCTGTTGCTCCCCTTACCCCATCATGTTCCTACTTGGGCCTGCATTTTGTTGCCGCTCAAAATCCTGCCTTTGGAGGGTCCTTCTTCCTTTAAGTCTTATTCCTCCTCTGTTGAAACAAGGCTACTTCAAGGAAGAGTTTAGTGTGTTAAGGATGTCTTCCAAGGGTAAACAGACCAAAATCTTAGGCCGTCTCTCTTCCGAATCCTGAGCAAGGCAGAAATAGACCTCAGCATACTAAGTCTGTGTCTGATACTGAGTCTGTGGTACTGGTCAGCCATGAAGAGTGTGACAGGCGAAGAGGACAGTTAGGATCAGTGCAGGACAGATGGCATGTGACAGGCAGAGGTGGTCAGAGGTGCATGTTTCAGTGGACATCAAGGCGCTCAAAATGCATTCCAAACATTTCTGGTTTATTACAGTACAGTTGTTAAATTTACTCCTTCATGAATTAAAAAAATTCTCCTTAGCTGAGAGGAAGTCCTGCCAGGATTGTCTAATGCAGAAAAAAAATTAAAGCAGTGAGATGCAGAAAGCATCAGATAGGAGAACAAGGCATAGATAGTCTGCCTCTAGGCTACTGTGTGACCTTGGGAAAGTTGCTGTCATTCTACAGGTCCCACAGGTAAAACAAGTGCTATGCACTAATGATTTTATTTTAATGGTTTCATTATTTATTCAAGAATTTCATGCAACATATTTTGACAATATTCACCAAAGTTTCTTTCCATTATTTATTCATGTGGATGTATGTGAGCCTGCATGAGTTTACGTGAATCATGTGCACGCAGGAGTCTGCAGAGGCCAGAAGGTGCAAAGAGTCCTGGAGCTGCAATTACAGATGGTTCTAGGACACCTGGTGTGGGTACTGAGAATTGAACCCAGGTCCTCTGCAAGAGCAGTGAGCCATCTTAACTGCTGAGCTCTCTCCAGGCCCTACACTGATTCTTTAAAGGATACTTCCAAGGGTCTTCCCAAGGAAAATATTTTAGGATTCCAAGGAGAAAAGGCATACTGACCAGTCCACTTCTTCCTTTTCTGTTCTCAGCTCACACTGCCTACTTTCCCTGTGGTGGTGAAGATTGGTCATGCTCACTCAGGCATGGGCAAGGTAAGGCAGGGAGGCTGGTAGCGGTCTGGGTTGAGTCAAAGCCCATTTGTAGACTATTTTTCCTGTGTCCGTGGATGTCTCCCAGGGATCTGACTAGGTCTCCTGGAAGCCATGGATTTTGCCCAATCATACAATAAAGAGTGCAACCTGGCCCTTTATATCTTTTCCATCAAGTGTATCCTTGGCTCTGTGAAGGGACTAGAGACAAAGGAACTTCTGGGGAGATGGGATACTCATGTTTGCCAGTGTCAGAAACTGTGATTTTCTTGGAAGCTCTAAGCTCTCAGTGTGTGTATGCACATATCCCCCTTCCTGTCTGTCTTACATCAACATTAGGTCAAAGTGGAAAATCACTACGACTTCCAGGACATTGCTAGTGTGGTGGCCCTCACCCAAACCTATGCCACAGCAGAACCCTTCATTGACGCCAAGTATGATATCCGGGTTCAGAAGATTGGCAACAACTACAAGGCTTACATGTGAGTATGTGTGGAGTGTGCATTGGATACTATCCACTTTCCCTCTGCAGCCTCAGTTTAACCTCATCAGCTCTATAAGGCAGGACCAGGGAGAGGATGCCACTGAGTCAGACTTCGTAGCTTGAATTCTTTGTAAGTCAGAGGAGAGATCCGAGAAATAAAAGTATAACTATTTCACTAGTCTCTAAGTGGATTTTACTTTCTCTTCAGACAGGAACAAAGGCTGTAGACTGTGGTAGTGGCAGGATGTGGGCTTTTTCACTAACAGTGGTCACAGGTATTCTTGAATCACAGTCATAAATTATGACAAATGTTGCTAAAACCAACTCTTCTCTCTTCTTCCAAAAACCATGGCAGTCGTTTAACCTGTCGCTACATCATGTTCACAGAAATGCTTATTTTAATATTTTAAAAAAATGAATTGTGTGCCTTGTGACCCTGTGTGCTTTTTTTTCTTACACTGCACACACTACACATTTTGTACTTGAGAGAGATCTGTATGCTTCACCAGAGTGCAAGAGCGCAGAAGCAGCTGAGCCCCTAATGTAAACACCCAGCCTTGGAAATGCTGCTACCTCTTTCCCATGAGTAGATGGCTGCTCCACCAAGCCACATCCACCTGGAAGAGTGTAGACGTCAGGAAAACAAAAGACTTCAAGATTTGCCTGGCTTTCTGTCATACTCATACAGACAGTGTGTAGCTCCAATTTTGAGAATATTAATCTATGGCTTTTTAAAAGTTGGTTTAGATATAAAGTTTTCTTTACAAATAAAGAACATTATTAATACATGAATTTGCTTTCTGCCACTCAAGACTTCAGCACATGAAGTCGGATGCCTTCCTGTGTCTCAGCCATACTCACCTGTTCCCACTGTCCTCTTCCTCCTCTTTTCATTGTTGGTACCTCTGGAGGTAGGGAGATATTCCTTCCCTGCACTCCTTTCCAGACCTGCTTTAAACTTTAGTCCTTCCCACAAAGATCGCTCTTCTCTAGGGTGAATTTCTTGTGGGGAGAATGATGAAGATCACTGTTTCTTACCTTGTATAGCAGTAGGTACCCACAGAGACTTCAGGGGACACCCTTGAAGAAAGCTGAAACATGATGGTGGGAGTGTCTTTCTGATTTGGGAGTTTGGGGTTTTTAGTCTGGGTTTTGATCCCCCCTCCCTGTGTGTGTGTGTGTGTGTGTGTGTGTGTGTGTGTGTGTGTGTGTGTGTTGTGTGTGTGTGTGTCTGTCTGTCTGTCTCTGTCTCTTTGTATCTATCTCCGTGTATCTATGTCTCTCTCTCTCTGTTTCCCTGTCTCTGTTGTATCTCTCTGACACTGTCTCTCTCTGTGTTCATGCTCACATACAGACCTGCATGTGTATGGTGTTGGGGAGCTGGGGGTTGAATTCAGGATTGTACATGATAAGCATATACTCTATACTAGGTTTTACTACCAGCTTCAAAACATTCATAGTTGTGTATTTATCATTTCCCTGCTTTCTAAAGAGGAATTAAGCATTGCTTTAAAACTATGGACAATTAAAGACAGTAGGGTTTTTTGTTGACTTGTTTGTTTTTTAATTGGTTGAAAGATGCAAAACTGCATATTTCTGGCTAGGAGAGGAAGTCTTACTCTCTGGAAATCCCCAACAGCACCATTTGGTGGAAAGGTGCCCATCCTGCCCCACTATCAACAGAGGCAGTTAAGCTGTCCCTGGGGCCTTTCAGTGTCCACTTGCCTTACACACCGTGTCCTATTGTTAGGGAAGGTATGAAGTCTTAAGGAATTTTGTAAACTTTGAAGCATAGTACAAATGTAAGGGATTTGCTATTATTATTTACTCACAATTTCTGAGGTCTTTCATATCATGGCTATGTGCTGAGGACATGAAAATGAGCAAGTTTCCCTGCTTTGAGGAGTCTAGCCATAGGGATACATTTGAAACCACAAATACAAGGAAACTGTGTTGTTACTATGATTTTTATCATTTTCTTCAAGTTTTACAAGTTTTCTTTTTAAATTTTCTTCTTTCTTCCTTCATTCCTCTTTCTTTCCCTCCCTCTCCCTCCCTCCCCCCTCTTTCTCCCTTCTGCTCTCTCTCCCTCCCTCCCTTTCTTTCTATCTTTCTCCCTTCCTTCCTTCCTTTCTTCTTTCTTTCTTTCTTTCTTTCTTTCTTTCTTTCTTTTTCTCTTTCTTTCTTTCTCAGGGTTTCTCTGTGTAGCCATGGCTGTGTTGGAACTTACTCTGTAAACCAGGCTGTCCTCAAACTCAGAGATCTGCCTGCCTCTAACTTCAAGGGCTGAGATTAAAGGCATGGGCGACCATGCCTGACCTTCATTAATTTTTTTCTTTTCTTTTCTGTTTTTTTCAAGACAGGGTTTCTCTGTGTAGCTTTGGCGCCTATCCTGGCACTTGCTCTGGAGACCAGGCTGGCCTCGAACTCACAGAGATTTGCCTGCCTCTGCCTCCCAAGTGCTGGGATTAAAGGCATGTGCCATCAACACCTGGCTTAATTTTCATAATTACCAATCAAAGTAATAGATTTCATTGTGTCATTTTCATGCACACTTTGTTTTTGTTAGGCTTCCCCAACCCCACTCCAGGTCCCTGCTCCCCCACCCCTCCTCCCAGTGTCTCCTCTCTGCTTTCATGGCACATGTGTTCTGTTACCTCTTCTTTCTCTTTCTCACCCCAGCCCAAGGCCCATGTTCCAGTTCCCATGGTTGTCTTTCTAGTTTTACAACCTAGATCCCCACATATGAAAATTAGAATATAAGCTCTGTCTATTAGAATGTCATATTTGTGTGAATCTGGGTTACTTTGATAATTTCTAGTTCCATCCATTTTTTCTGCAAATGTCATGAATTCAGTTTACTTTGTAGCTGAATAAAATCCCACTGTGTGTTCCATGTTTTCTTTATTAATTCACCTGTTGGTGGACTTCTGGGCTGTTCCATTTCCTGACTGCTGAGTGTAGTAAAGCAGTAACATGAATGCACAAATGTCTCTGTGGTAGGACTAAATACTTAGGGTACATGCCTAGAGGTAGAATAGCTGAGCCATTCAATATTTCTAATTTTAGTTCTGTTTAGGATTTCTTTGGTTATTCAAGGTCTTTTGTGTTTCCTTATGAATAGTAGGATTGCTATTTTCTACTGTGAGGAATGTTATTGGAATTTTGATGGGGTTGTATTGGCTCTATACCTCTTTTAGTAATATAACCATTTTCACAGTATTGTCAATTCATAGCTGTAGGAGGTTTTCAGTAGTCCATCTTGTGTCTTCTTGAACACCTATCTTCAGTGTCTTAACATTTTAGAGATCTCTCATGTCTCTTCCTTAAGTTTATTCCTAGGAATCTTTTTTGATTTACTTAAGCTATTATAAATAAGACATTTTGCCTAATTTCTTCTTAAAATATAGAAAATGTGCTGATTTCTGTATGTTGATTCTGTATTCTATAATTTTACTGACAGTATTTATCAGGTCTAAGAGTTTTCTGGTGGAGCCCATATGGTCTTTTAAGTATAGGGCCATGTGATCTGCAGGTAGAAGTAGACTGACTTCTTCCTTTCTTGTTTAGGTCCATTTTATTTTATTTTTTATTTTAATGTTCTAGTTAAGAATTTGAGCACTTTATTGAATAAGAGTGGGTAGAGTAGGCACTCCTGTCTTACTCCAGATTTTAGGGGAAATGCTCTTAGCTTTCCCTGTGTAGAATAATGCAGCCAAATGACTTGTAGCCTTTATTATGCTGAGGTGTCTTTCTTTTGTTTCTTGTTTCTTTAGAATTTTATCCTGTTGAACTTTATTAAATTCTGTCTCTGTGTCTGTTAAGATAATCATGTGACTTCTGACATTAAATCTATTTATATGGTGCTAGTGTGTGTGTGTGTGTGTGTGTGTGTGTGTGTGTGTGAGAGAGAGAGAGAGAGAGAGAGAGAGAGAGAGAGAGAGAGAGAGAGATGAACCAATGTTGCTTCCCTGAATTGAAACCAACTTGACCTTGATGTATCTTTAAAAATTTGTATCACTTTTATTTGTGTGTGTGTGTGTGTGTGTGTGTGTGTGTGTGTGTGTATGAGCATGTGTGCTCATGAGCACACCTGTGTGTATGTGTGTGACAGTGCAGGCATGGGGGTCATCGAACAACTTGTGGGAGTTGGTTTTCTCCATATGAAACCTAAGAATCAAACTCAGGGCATTAGTCTTTGTGGTAGGCACTTATATCAGCTAAACCACCTTGCCAGCCTTCTTCATGTATTCTTGAATTTGGTCTGTATTTTTTTTTTTCTGTGGTCTGTGTTTTTTTTGTTTTTTGTTTTTTGTGTTTTTTTGAGAATTCTTGCATCTATATCCACCAGTGGAATTGGTCTAAAATTTTCCTTTTTTGTGTTATGTTCTTATCTGGTTTGTCCATTTTTGTGAATTTGATAAGTATTAATGTCAAGCCTTTCTTAAAAATCTTTATAGAACTCAGCAATGACTCCATCCTGTCCTTGCTTTTCTTTCTGAGTGGACTTAATTACTGCTTCATTAATGTTGCTTGTTGTGGGTTTAAGATATTTATATCATTTGATTTAATTTTAGTTGGCCATAGGATTTTAGAAATTTCTTCATTTTTCTAGATTCTTTTGCTTTTTGGAATATAAGTTTTCAGAATATTCTCTAATGATCCCTGGCTATTAGTAGAGTCTCTTGTAGCAAAGACTTTTTTTTTTTTAACATGGAAAGGAAGTTTTATTGGGGGAAGGGAAGGCAGAGAGGGGAGAGAAAGAGAGAGAGACAGACTCTCACAGACCTTTTCATCTCTACTTTTGTTGTTTTTTTCTATTTCTTCTGCTTAGTTCATTTCAAAAAAAAAAAAACAACTTCTAAATTCATGGTTCTATGTGTTATTCTCTTAGTCTCTATTTTCTTAATTTCTACCTCATCTATATTTCTTACCAGTTACTACATTTTGGTTTGGCTTCTTGCTTTTATGGGATCTAGAAACATGCTACTGGGTTATTAATTTGGGACCTTTCTGATTGTTTTAACATTAGAACTTTAGCTATGCACTTTCCTCTTAGAGCTGTATCTCAGAGCTTTAATCAATGATGCTCTCATCTTCATTTGATTCTAAGAAGTTTTTAGTTTCCTCTGTGATGGTTTCAGTGGCCCAGTATCCATTCAAAAGTGTTCATTTGTCAAGTAATTGTGTAGTTTCTGTGATTCCTTTTGCTGTTGATTTCTAGTTTTATTCCACTGTAACCTGATAAGACATAGGGTTTTTAAATTTTTTGTATTTGTTAAAGCTTGCTTTGTAGCCTCAATCTGCTTGATTTTGGAGGTTTTATGAGTCTCTGAGAAGGAATGTTTCTTATCTGCTGGATGGATTATTCTGAGATAGACCTTTGTTGGGAGAGCAGGGCATCGCAGGTGACAGGTGACTCTAGGCCCAACAGATAGATCCTTTAGTTTCTCAGGAGAAATCTAGTGGGCAGTGTAGCAATGAACTAGAGAGCTGCAGTTCTGGAGTTCTGCACTTTCTTTGCTGGTCTGGCTCACAGTCTGTCCTTTCCTGGTGGGGCTTTGTTTCAGGAGGACATCCATCTCAGGGAACTGGAAGACAAACACTGGCTCTGCAATGCTGGAGCAGATCGCCATGTCAGACCGGTGAGTGAGCAATGTCCTGTCCTCATGTAGAAGAAAGCTGCTGTCAATAAAGAGGTGTTAGACAGAAGCAACACCTGAGGCAAGGGAGGCTCTGTGTAGATTAATAAAATATAGAGGCTCTGGCAGTCAGGGAACAAGATCAGGTAGAGCCAAGTTAAATGCTGTTGCTGTTACAGAGATAAGGACAATGTACCACAGAAGCTCCAATAAAGAAATAGTAGTGTGGGCTGGATGGCCTTCTAGATGAGGTGAGGGCTTGGGCATTTGGTGGTTTCAGGGGGTCAGAAAGGTGAGACACCATAAATAGGCACTGTTCTCGATGATGTAGAGGAAGGGAAAGAAGAGGAGGTTAGCAATGGGAAAGGTGAGGGCAGGAAGACCTTAACAGAATGTAGGCTTGGTGTGAGCTTAATGTCTTAGCCCCAGGACATCTCCCTGTCGCCTCCAGGTACAAGCTCTGGGTAGACGCCTGCTCTGAGATGTTTGGTGGCCTGGACATCTGTGCAGTCAAAGCTGTACATGGCAAAGATGGGAAAGACTACATTTTTGAGGTAAGTCTGGCCCAAGGAACAAATCAGTATGCAGTAACATCCAGACTGGGACCAGACTCTTGGCTCAAAAGTGGTGTGAGAATCCCACATTACATTTATAGTCTTCTAATTATGAAGGTCCAAGATGGCAGGTCTGCATAGTAGCTTCCTTTCCAAGTGGAGAGCTGTTGGCCAAGCCACACAATGAGTAATAGATGGCACATCTAGGTTCCTGGTTCCTGGCCTACTTTGTTATGAGGACATTGTAGTGATTGTATCATTTTTACTCTGAGAAAGCCACCTTTAAGAATTGTTCAAACATAATCAATTACATGAGGAAATGGAACCTCTCTACCATGAATATGTGCTTATGGCCGCAGGATGAATCAGTGTCAACTTGGCACCTGAATGCAGATGGTTCTTTCTAACATCTCTTAGCTTTAGAGATAGTGTACTCTGTCTGGTCTCCTAACCCAGCTTTCAACTCTCCTGTTAACTTCCCTGTTAAAGGGAAAGTCATGGCAGTGGGAATCCAACACTACCCCCTCACTGGGCTCAGTCTTCCTGGGAGTAGAGGAGTGGGTGTTTCCAGACTACTTATGTCAGGAGGCTAAAGTGGGTTTCAGATTCAAAATATACTCTATAGCCTTCTTAGCATGGAACCATCTAGATAACCATACCATTCTCTCTGGGTAAGCCTGTTTATCCTCTGTAAATGAGAGTTGGACCACAGTCTTTGATCCTCCTAAAGCAGGTACTTCCTAAAGGAAGCAAGGATTGCCCTAGATACAGGAAGAGTCAAGATCAGTGGTGAGCAGAGAAGCCGTCCTGATCAGGAGCAATGGCAGGAATCAGGCCTGTTAATGAGCAGAACGAGATTGGGAACAGACTAAAAAGTCAAACGATGACAACTGCCTGCTCTAAGGCATTCTCTTCCATGTCTTCCTGCTCCTGCCTCAGGCCATACCCTCGCCTGCTTTTTTTCCTTTTTCTACTCCCAGTACCCAGCACTCTGCATCTCAGAGCTCTCTGCTCTGGGTAAACTGAAAGGGGTCGTGGCAAATGTTTGCAGCAGAAGCAAATGGTTCCTGTCTCTGCTGAGGAACACGGTTCCAGCCAACCAATCCACTTTGCTGGCTTAAACTGTATCAATTCCCAAAAAGTATAGTGGGTCTTTACATTTCCAAACCTTTTCCTTACCTGGGCCACATCTTCCACTAGGTCATGGACTGTAGCATGCCACTGATTGGGGAACACCAAGTGGAGGACAGACAACTCATCACCGATCTAGTCATCAGCAAGATGAACCAGCTACTGTCCAGGACTCCTGCCCTGTCTCCTCAGAGACCCTTAACCACCCAGCAGCCACAGGTAAGAAACTGCAGAGAACCAGCACAGTCATGAACCATTGCTTCAGACACTGTAGCTCTAGGAAGAAGCAGGATCAGATACCTACAGGCTTAGCTGAAATCCAAGGTGTCTTCCTTCTTCCTTTTCTTCCATTCCTTCTTCTCTGGGTTATCTTCAAATACCCCCTTTAGAGGCCTCCTCTTCAGAAATCTAAAGTATCAGCTACAGAACTGTGCAGAGGTAGAGTGCTGGATCTTCACCCTGAACTTGAAGACTCCAGGGAGCTACATCCCACTTCTCCTGTGACCCAGAGTGTCTTGTGAATTAGATCTCTGAGGGAAGTCTGAATTAGATAGTTCATTGGCTCTTCCCTGCCATGTGTGTAGCAGCATCTTTCTGAGAAGGCTACTGGTTTAGAAGGAGGGAAAAGTTAGTCCCCAGTTCTAGGGGAGACTGACATGACAAAATTCAAATTAGAAATCTGCTTTTGTTCCTGTGAGAGAGAAGTGACCTTCCCCAGTTTGTTATGGTACAGGACTCTCATCACAGTGGCAGCATCCCAGATACAAGCCTCCTGGGAAATCCACACAAATTTTTGTAGAACCTTAGACCCAGGAGCTCTACAACAGACCAAAGAATGGATAACACCTTGGGCCTGAAATTCTGAAGGATATATCTCATTTTTCAAAAATATGCCCAGGACTCTCACCTCTGAACTTTTTTGTAATAGAGTGGTAAGAACTTGGACAGCTAATCAATGATACTTAGCAAACTTTCCCCTAAACATTTGTGTACCTTTGTAAGGAATCATTTCTCCTTAATGAAACTCAGGTTTTGACATTTTTGTTAGGATTCTCTTAGAAACCTTCCCTTCAAAATTCAACCTGAAAGAGTTAGGGGAATAGAACAGAATAGTGTAGAGTGTCAGCTGTGAAGTGAACATCACCTTATGACAGACTTTGGAGATTCCCCCATGGAGGGTCTCACCCTCCCTGAGGAGCGGAGGGAGATGGGGGTGGGGGGTTGGGAGGGTTGGTGTGGGGTGGGGGAGGAGGGGAGGGAGAGGGAGCTGGGATTGGCATGTGAGGCAAGCTTGTTTCTAAATTAAATTTTAAAAAGGAAAAAAAAAAAGAAATGAATATCACCCAAGTTATGAATTCTAAACCTGCTTCTTTTGGCTTTATGACCTTGGACAATGTCCATAGCAATAGTTAAGAAAAAGGAACCACAGTCCATATCCTTAGAGTTTTATGAGGATTAAAAGAAGAAGAAAACACTCTAAAATAAGGCAGAATAATATGAAGCACCCAGTGATGGCTGATAATGTATGCAAAGGGTGCATTCTGGGTTTGGATCCTATAGTCTGAGGCCTGGAGAAACATCAGCACCTTATCTGGAGAAGAGCAAGTGCCCTTACGCATTAGCAAACCATCAGCCTTCCAGAAATCCTTCAGTGAAAAGGAATAAAGGGTTGACAGTTTATACTGGGCAAGGAGAATCAGACTAGGTTGTTTAGGATATTAATTAATTACCCTAGATACCTGAGCATTGCAGAATCTGTAGATAGAAATGTTGACATTCATGATAATGAGCCTGAATTGCCAAGAGAAGAGATCATATATATCAGGTAGTAATATATATGCCACTGAAGGCAGGTAGAAACATGATGTATAATAAATATTTTCCCCCAAATTGACTAGCTGTCATGGTCATTCCAATGTAGTATCTTTTGTTTTCTAAAATGTTCTTTAGAGCCAGGCCTGGCAGCACACACTTGTAATCACAGCCCTGGAGAGGTAAAGGCAGGCAGATGTCTGTGGGGTCTAGTACTACCTTCCAGTACATAGTACATTGCCTTGGTAGATAGTTAATGATAACCTGTAATCACATTGCAGATTTAATTTCAGCATAAGAAGCCTAATGGATACATTCAAATCATATCCAAGCCACAATATCCCCTGTATTTTCAATTTAAACATCTTAGCACACCACACTGGAAACCAGGATTCTGGGGGGAAGGGCAATTCCCTGCTCTGTTATAACACCTGTCCTCTTTGTATACTGTTTCCTCACTTGTGAAGTCGAGTTAAAGTAGGTGATTTCTAGATCTTGTCCGATACCAGGGCTACCTGAAGTTAGCCAGACCACAAAGTCTGAGGTCACTACCATTACTCTGTAAGACTGCTTTTACTTCTTACATCAGCTGAAAGTTCTAGAATCCCAAAAACCACTGGGGCTGACTAGAGCTCTGCAGGAATCAGGGGACTCACTGAAATCTGTTGTACTCGCAGTCACTGTGTGTTATAGAAAACAGTTCAGATCAAAACCAAGCTACATGAAGATGCACAGTGAGAATCTGAGAGGGTTCTGAAAGCAAAGCCTCTACCACTCTTGGACATGTCTCCCTCCCATCTATGTGTGATAAAACACACAGCAATATCGGCAACCAGAGCAGTCACCTGAACTTCACTGTTCAGCTACTGCTGGAACTTCATTGCCTAACCTTGATTGATTGATCTGATTGAACTGTCTACACATCCCTCCTTCTCTAGATGTCAAACTAACACATGTGGTCTAAGGGGACCACCATGAATGACAAAGACACTTTGATCCTTCAGAAAATTACAGGAGTTCAGAGGTTTCTTCCTGGAGGCCAGATGCAGAAGACAAATACCCTCCCTGACCCCCCCCCCCACACACACACACAGGGTTTCTCTGTGCAACAGCCATGGTTGTTCTGGAACTCACTCTGTAGACCAGTCTGGCCTCCAACTCACAGAGATCCTCCTGCTTCTGCCTTCTGAGTGCTGGGATTAAAGGCGTGTACCACCACGCCTCTCTCAAGCAAGGCTAAATTCTTTCCTGCACACACAAATGCTTCCTGCTCCTCATGAGCAATGACCAGGCTTGGTCTGTGCTTTTTTCCCTTGACTAGTGAAGAAGGCCTAATAACTGTAAGAATTACACAGTGGATGAGATGCAGTTCTGCCCAAAAGCTGTTTGTGTCCTGACTTGAAGTGGTAGCTGAATTGCCTAAGTGGTATCTTCTGTGCCTTCTGTTAACTTCCTCCTGAGTCTGTGCTTTGACCTCGGGTTGCCCAGCAGCCAGTGGACACACAGCAACAGTCTGATACCTGGCAAGATGCAGTGATGGCCCTTAAGCCACAGCTGTACTGGCCACGTTTCCAGATCCTGTTTGATTCAATTGAGAAGACATCCGTCATCCTAAGCCCAGGCGCACAGACTGGTCACCCCTTCAGACCAGCTGCCTTCTCATTCTTGTTGCCACACACCTCCCTGCCTCCGTCCTGTACTTTACCCACATGAATCTGTTTCTAACGCCCATTCTCCACCTGTAATCTGGATCCCACCTTTGCCTTTAAAATGTCCCCTCTCTTTTCCTTTATTAGTCTGTCCTTTTTCAAATGATCACATCCATATACAAACATTTATCACTAAACAACAAAGAACAATTGGGTGGTGGCGCACACCTTTAGTACCAGCACTTGGAAGGCAGAGAGACAGGCAGATTTCTGTGAGTTGGAGGCCAGCCTGGTCTACAGGATGAGTTCCAAGACAGGTTCCAAAGCTACAGAGAAACTCTGTTTCAAAAAACCAAAACCAAAAACAACAAAACAATAAAATACCCTTCAGTCCCCATTCCCTTCTAGCTACTGCTCAATTTCTCCCCCACTGTTTCACTATCACCTCTTCATCACACCACATTTTCTCCTCAGTCCTCTCCAGTCAGCATTCTACCACCACCATCCCACTGAAATTGCTCTTAGCAGAGTCATCTCCATGTCACCAATCCTGTGTCTTGGTCTCACAAAAACATTTGATACAGCTAACTCATTCAAGACACTCTTTGATGGGCCACTGTGAGTGTACTCTTGCTTGTTTGTCATTCTACCTCAGTGGCTTCTTGTCATGAGAGTGCTCCATCAGAAATAGACGAACATGTTTGTGCATTTCAACAATATATTGAGCAACAATAAATTCACAAGTTGCAATGCTTTTAATGGAGACCATCTACCAGGTTTTCCCATCTTTTCATGGTTACCTAGCTAAGGCCACACAAGCTCTTTCGTTGCAACCTTAATTACAAATACTAACTCTAAGATTGTACATCACACACCACAGTATTTCTCTATGTGTATATGTAGATTAAAGGGTTACCACAACAGGTTAAAAATCAAGAGCTTTTCAGAAGGAGGCTGATAGGAATGTAAATAAAGTCTATATCGATGGAACGAGGAACCCAAGCCTAGCTGTAGGGAAGAAGCTGAAGAAGCAGCTGTCACTTCAGCTACAGGTGTCAGCTGTAGGTTGGAGAGTAGAGTGTGGAGTTGAGTTTGACTGCAGGGGCTAAAGGGCAGGCTAGGTCTAGAGGAAGGAATAAAAAGAGGGATGAATGGCAGGTCTCAGTCTTGTGGGCAGAAGGAAGTTGAATGTGGAGACTGATCTGAAGCCCAAGGATAGTTCTCTGTCTGCCAGTCCTTAGTGCACATACTCTGTTCAGGTGACTGGTTAGTGGGAATATTCCCATTGCAGTTCTGGGTATCTACCTCTGGGCCTAGTGAGAGAGTTAACCCTTTCTTGTCTGGTGTGTCTAATAAGTTCTTAGGCCCAATTTCCCTGGTGTAATTTAATAGACCCTGATAAATTTATAAGGTGGTACCCCTTTTACTCCAGGAACAAGTCCTTTGTCAGGCTATGCTAAATAGATGGTTCTGGACAGATGTTGTTGTGTGTGTATGCATCCAAAGGCACAGGCTTCCTCCATCTTCAAAATGGAGCCAAAAGCTACTCATGAAATGGAGTTCCTCAGGGCAAGGCACAGTCTTAAAAAAACAAAAAACAAAAAACTGTTTTATACAATGTGGAATAAATTAAAACAGGGCAGCATTATCTTAACATTTCCTTCCCAGCTTTCTTTTCTGACACTCCTCCTTCTGGTAAATCTTGAGATGTACCCTGAACTTGTAAATTCCCTGGTGAGTTTGGCCAGCCTCTGTCTACCCTGCCTTGACCACTCCTTGAAATTCCAAGTCACATGTCTAAGGTCCACTAACACCTTCACTTGCCTGCCTGAGTACAGCATAGCCAAAGCACAGATCTTCCATTTCTACCAACATCTTATCCCTTCACTTTGCCTAAATTTCCCCAGGCTATTTATATAGGATCTCACCCACCTTTCACCCATGCTTGAAAGTACTACATTTTGTGCTCTGTGCCATAGCCACACTTGTCCCAAAAACCTATGTTCCTTATTTAGCCTCTCCCTAAAATGTTTTCCCTCCTTTGCTTTTTGTACAGCTCACTGTTTGGTACAGAAACTTTCACGACAGTGTAACTAACATTTCTTCAATCATCCAAAATTGCCACTGTTTAGAAGCTGCTACCTTTCCTTTCCTTTCTTAGGTTTTTTTTTTTTTTCCATTTCCTATCAGCTAAGATTGATTCTTTTATCACTTCTACTAGAATGCAAACTCTTTGAAAGTTGGAATTTGCTCACCATTTCATCTCAAGATCTTAGCAAAGCTTCTGGACTGTACAATCCATAGAAGATACTACTGTGGGGCTCTATAACTTGGGATATTCCTGGAGAGTTTCGATCTCGTGTGAATTCATCAATGCAGTGCAAACCTATACAAACTAAGACGCCATGATTATCATTAGGCAATATAATTCCACGAACCCATCATCATATATGTGGCCAATTATTGAGCTAAATATTGCTGTGCAACACATAAATTTTATCACCAGTGTTCTAAAAGGGTGTTTGAGAGCAGTATAACGAGTGACGATCGTAGTCCATAAAGTTAAGATATCTTTATTCAGATAAACACCAGCCAAATGCAAGCCACAGTGTGCCAGGGACAGCAAGGCAGGCAGGCCAGAGAGAAGGGCTCCCAAGTGCCTTGTAGCCCCTTAAAAACCTATCACGAGTCATCCTGAACTCACCTTGACCATGTCCTGACAGGCATGGTCAGGCATACCTGTAGTCAGCCCTTAAGAGGCGTGGTTACGGTGTCTCCCTACAGAGCAGTTTGTCTTGGTTGCAGTCCTTTGTCTCTAGAAAATGTAAAGCACAGTAACAAATATAAATCTATTTTTAATATCTCTGCATTTAGTAACAGCTCTTTACAAATGAGAATGGTACAGTGTTCCTCTTATCTGGGCAAATCACTTCCACGACCTAAGTCCCTGTGGTAGACTTCGTAGAACATAATTGATTGTGTGTCCCCATTTGGAAACAATGCCTTTACTGGCCCTATCATCCTGTTTGGGCTTATGTGTCTAGATCCTAAGGAAGCCTTGATAGTGTGCAAGCAGAAGAGATTAAAAACCAAGAAACTGCCTGGGTCCCAGCCTATGTGTCATGTCTCCTGCCAAGCCCCTGCATGTGTCTGTCATGTATGCCATTCCTCAGTCAAGCCACTCTTGTTAGCTTCTTTTATGACCATGGAACACCATGGACTGAAAGAGAAAGAACTGGCTTGCATCATTTGATCTGCTTGTTGCTCAGAAATATCAGTAATATAGAAGAGGACCAGGGCAGACTTGTGACAAGCTTGCCCATCTCTCTTCCTCTGTCCATCCCTGTTCTATCCCTAGAGCATTCCTTCCTATGATTAGAGATTACCTGGAGGAGGCTAGAGGGAGGGAGGAGAGGACGATGAGTAGTGGGTAGACTTTGCCTTTCTGTAATCCTGCCTCTTACCTGGAGTGGATTAGACATGGAAAACATAAACTAGCTAACTGCTGTGCATCCTTCTAGGAATCAGGGAGGTAATGACCACATCATCAAAAGCAGAGAGGTGAATAACAAAACTCAATTTGGCTGTCAATGGCTTAGTCTCACCCTGGCTGGACTGTTAGCCTCCAGGCTGCGCCAGGCAACTGACTCTCTCTACAATGGGTATGCTGTTCTCAGGGTGGCAGTGACACCTGGTGGCCAACAATTGCAGAGCCTCCGTGGGCTCCACTTAAGAGCCTCTTTCCCTGTTACCCTGGCTCTCCCATCCCCCAAACACACTCAGTCTTTGAGAGTAGAAAAATGCTCGCTGCTTCATCTCTAGTGCTTAGGAGAAATCTGGTATTTAGGGCTGCTGAATGTGTCAAGAACAGCTTGACAACTGGGAAATCCCTGAGAAGTTTGGGGTGTGTATGTCTTCGGCATCTGAGACAGGCCTAAAAGTGGGGCTCTGGAGAGAGCTGCTTTCCAGACCCCCCAGAAACAAGGGAGAGACCTTCAGGTGTCGAGAGCTTTCAGATCAAGAGAGGTGGCTTCCTTGTTTTCATGTGGCTGGGTTTGTTTGTTTTCACTTCTCTTTATATTGATCTCACACTTTTTATTTTCCTGTAAAATCTTCCAGAGATAAAAGACCAAATGATAACACAGGGTTTCAGATGCCGATGAGTGAAGCAGGGCCTGGTCTTTCTTCAGTGCCCCTTGGTTGTGCATTTGGCAAGCTCCCTACTTGGCTTGTGGGTAAGACCCATAGAGAACTAGTTTAAGACTAGCCCTTTGGAAACAATGGTTCGCATTTGGTTCCTGGGATAAGGTGAGGCTTTCTTCTCCCTGAACTGACCACATCACACAATTGATGTTGCTTCTTGTCCAAGGGTGGTAGTATAACAGGATGGATTCTGTGTGTGATCAGAGGAGAGACCAGGATGGCGGTGGCTCATCGAAGCTACAGACAAAAGTAAAGGACTGTGGCAGAAGATGTGGTTCATTTGGTAGGGTACTTGCATCACATGCAGGAAACCCTGGATGGATCCCCAGCACAGGTGTAAACCAGGTGTTGGTGGCACACCTGCAATCCCAACATTCTTTTGGTAGAGGCAGAAGAATCAAAAGCTCAAGGCCATCCTTGGCTACACAGCAAGTTTGATGCTAGCTTGGGATACATGGGACCCTGTCTCAGACAAAACAAAACAAAACAAAACAAAACAAGTTAAAGGGACTGCAGTTGGCTGCCAGCTGTTTCCAGAAGCCAGTGACTCAATGTCTTTAGCTTTCTGATGCCGTCACGGATTAGAAATGGTCCCAGAGGCAAATCGGCTGGAAGACAGGCTTTGACCTTGTATAAGGAATCACCTCACCTATACTGAGAGCAGAAACTGTCACTCTGGTCTGTGTGACTGTCACATTAATACTCAGACCTCAGCAGGATAAGGTACTTATTAGGGAGGTGGTGAAAGGGCCGGTGGGAGCTGATGGAGCAAGTAAGTCTCAGAATCTTCCAGAACTAGAGTATTGTGCTCCAGGCTGCATGCAACCACCAGACCTGGGGGAAGTAGTAGGAAGAGTTCAGCACAAAAGGACCAAGGGGCTGGGGAGGTGGCTCTGTGGTTAAGGGCACTGGCTGCTCTTGCAGAGGACCCAGGTTCAGTTACTAGCTCACATCTCTGTACTGGAAGATAGTGACACTTCTCTCTGACCTCTGTGGGCACCAAGCACACACACACACACACACACACACACACTCACATAGTATCCATACATGCATGTAGGCAAACACTCATGCACATAAAATATAATAAATAAAATTTCCTGTGAGCTTTGTAAGTACAAGGAGACCAAGACTGTGAAGGGATCTCTTCACCCTGAGAAGTGTAGCCCACTTAGAAAGGGGCGCAAGTGTCCCTCGGATCCACGTTGGGGCTGTTTCACTTGTTCTAAGAGGTAAAGTTAGGACAAACCAAAGCCTTCCTGCTTCCCACAGCAGGACTGGCTTCAGAGGACATGTTCCCCAGTGAGTAGAAGCTGAGAACTCAAGGAGATTGGGGGCAGGTTCAGATAAAGCCACCAGTGAATAGATCCCTTAACGAACTATTAAGAGAAACCAACTATTTTGGGACTGTCTTTACTTTCAGGGACATCTTTAATCACTTGAAACTGACATTCTGACCCAGGGTGACCTGATCCTCAGTACCCCCATAGGACTCGTGGCCCCTGTGGACCATTTCTGGTGTCCTCAGGTTATGGGAGGGCCACAATCCTGGCAATGGTCTTTGCCCGAAGAGTGGTTCCCCTAGGAGGGGAGGAGCAACAGCTCATCCCTGGCTACCTTTTAAATCCTTGTAGAGGAAGGAAGGGGGGCAGTGGCAACTGAAGGGGTGAGTCCGGAAAGGTCTCAAGGTGCTGAAAACATACCGTCCCCTTTGCTCTACAGCCTCCTGACCACATTCCTTCCTGCTTCTTCATTCTCCCTGGAGTACTGGACCGGGGAAGCTAGGCCTGGGGGAGCTGATCAGAATAGTTCTGTGGCGTGGCCAGTAAGGAGCTTGGCCTGGCCCCTTTCCTGGGGCCAGACCCTGGGACCCTTTCCCAATTTCCTGTCTCAGATATGCTGAGCAAGCATAGGCCTTCCTCCTGGTGGGGGCAGCTGGTGTTAAGCCAACAATTCTCAAAAGTTGAGTCACTCAATGTCTTTCCTTCCTCAGCTTTCCATCCTGTTGGGGCCTCACTCAGATAGGAGCTCCTCTGCCAGAGTATCTAACAAAAGCTACAGGGTGGAAAATTAGAGGTAACTTAGCGAAACCCCATAGATCCCCAGCCATGGGCTTGGTTTCTCTCCCAGGCCATCGAATCCCTCTCTACTCACCTCAGAAACCATCTACTCTTCCTAATCTGACATTTTTACAACTGGGTGTATCTTTCTGAAATTACACAGAGGGAAGGCATGGTCTAACCCAATCCAGAAGCCACCATGTAAGAACTACTGTGCCCAAGATGACAGGAAGCTATCCAGAAATGTCTTCATTGATGCATGACATTCTCACACTTAGTCTTATTTAAATAAAAGCAATTATGTTGACTTATCATTCACTGCCTAGGACTTCACAGTTTATAAAGCTCATCTGTTGTTTTTAAGCCTCCAAACCCTTATGTGAGATATTGGGCTAGTGATTCTGTGTTTGTTCACGTATCAGGAAAGACAACGAAGATGATTACCCTGAGAGTCACCTGGATGCTAAGGAGAGCTGGATCTCACCCCCAGCTCAGGAGGCTCTGTGCAATACTGTGTACCAGGGCTTTTTGATGTGCCTGTGATGGCATGGGGAAAGGAAAGAAATGGAAACCTGGGCATTTGTGGTACTGTATGAGGAAACTTGCTCTCCTCCCTTGATGGCTAAATGCTCAACCTGTCAACCTGAGAGTCTGCACTTCACCAGCTGCTTCTTGGGGTGTTCATCTGTCCTGCCCCCTGGCTCTCTTGATTGCTAAAGCCCATAGACCCAGCAGCAGAGTAGGATATTAGCCTAGTTAGCCTCTGTGGGCAGCAGCACACTCCTCACCGAGTACCTCCAAGCCTGTGCCTGAAGGATATCTCTGTTCAGGCCCAGCAGCCCTGAGGCTTTTCTTGCCTCAAAACTGTACTGCTAAGAAGGGCTTATCTATTACCTCAGTCGTCCAAAGAGCTGAAAAAAATGCACAAAGAATTAGTGGAAGCCTGGAGCCAGAAGAGCCAGCTGAAGTCATCTGCCTGTGACGACTTGTGTCCCCTGTACAGTATCTCTGGCCAGAGTTTTTCTAGGTGCTGGTTGAAGAGCTCATGGAGGAAAAGTCACCATTACCTAGGCTACCCTTGATGTGATTCACTCTGAACACTGGTACTGCCAGGCTCACACCATTTAATCCTATAACCTGACCATTTGGAGAAACTGAGATTCAGATTTGAAGTAACTTGTCAAAAGTCACATAAAGAAAGATGTTTCCAGTCTCTCAACCTCTTGTCTCTTCACAGACCCTGCCAATTCACCCCTTCAAAGAGGTGCCCAGAAGTGGTGGCAGTGCCTTCTGATGAGGCTTGACCAAGCAAGAAGGCAATGGATCTGTTTCTCTCCCTTACTAAGACACGGATGCATCTTCTGCCTCATTAGTTTTGTCAGTGGCATTAGACTGACACCCTCTAGCAGTCATTCCCTAAGTCCAGGGTTTTATGGGGCTTTGTCCCTGCCGTCCTTTCTATCCACATCTGGTCATGGGGGCTGGACTAAGCATTCTTACCTGTTTGAGTCAACCAGCTTCCTGAGAGCAATCCGGCCGCTCAGGCCGACCATGAGTTCCTGCCTTGGGCTGGCTATAGGCCAATTTTTGACAGTGACGCCAGAGTGGCCAGACTTCTGTGGAATTCAGCATCCCAGGAGGCTCTTGGTGACTGGAGACAGATCCCGTGGTAGCCAAACCCCATAGGGAATAAGCCCTCAGCCTTTAGCAGACAGCAGGCTTGTGGGAGGAGCCAGAGTGTCTCAGCCTGGCAAGGGACAGTCCTAAGGGACTCTCCTCCTAGCCTCCCTCAGTCCCTGAGAAGTCTTCAGTCCACAACCTCAGTGGAACCAGGGACAGAAGAAGCTCTTTAGGCGCCATCAAGGGTGGCCAAGGCACATTCCCAGGCTCTAGCCCTGAGGACTGCCTCTGGGACCTTTTCTCCTAAAGCTTTGGGAAGGGCACTTTGGGTTTCATTTTATCCTCTAATGCCTCACATGTATATTTCTGTGGCAGAGGAGAGCTAGAATCAGCCTGCATGGTGAGTGCCTTCTGTGAGGCCTGAGGAAGAAAACTGGCAAGAACCAGTCTAGAAGCTCCCCAGGCTCGACTTGGGCTGCCCTTTGCCTGAGTAACTGTCTTGGATAATGAGAGGCCATGACACTGAACATATGGCCTGGAAAAGAGACTGAACAATAAGGTTTGGACCAGAAGGCACAGGTACTTTTAGGATAGTAGGGAGCTGAAGGTTACAAAGGTTGATTCCAACAGCAGTGAAGCAATTGGGAATGTTAATAAAGCAATCTCTACTATATACAAGCCATTGTTAGGGGTAAGAGAGAGACTGCATAAAGGGTCCATGTACCCGGCACACAGTAAACACTCAAGAAATTTCATATGAGAGAAACTAAGTGGCACAACTAGGGAGACATTTCAGGGAAGTAACAATGGCCATGAAGAAGAACAATTAAAGAGATGAATTGAAAGGATTAGGAAACTATAGTGTAAGCAAAAGCTGATAAATGCTTGACCAAAGATGGTAAATGGAAGATGGTGCCAGAGGGAAGAACCGAGGGGCCCTGGTGGATGAATGGTTTGGGTGGCTACAAGCTGGTTTAATGGATGTGTGTATGTCTCAGTGTCAGGGCTCAGCACAGGTCTCCGCAACCAGTTAGAGTGCTTGGAAGTACGGAGGCAGGCATGGAAATGCTGGTTTCTGTGGTGGTGTTGAAGGTGGTTGACAGGTAAGATGGGCTTCCTTGCTGAGGGATACTGAGGACACTGCAAAAGCCATGTCTGTTACTGTCTGAAATCCTACACAGTTGGAAATGAAGTCACCTTTGAAAGATTGAGATACTGGGAAGGGAATACTTCTACTTCCAAGATAGGAGCTGGCAACTGGCCATAGGAAGCTGGAAGAGAGAAAGGGCCCAAGGGGAAGTGGGAAGCAAGGAGAAAACTGCACCTATATGGGATAGGGCTTGGGGCCTTATGTCCAGGGGTGAGGGGCACTGAGAGGGAAGTAAGACACAGCTCAAAAGCACATTTAGCCCACTTCTCAGCCCTGGGTGGGGAGGTCCACTCTGACATCACCTCGGCCCACTTGGCACACCTTGGCTTTAGAGAGTGTTTCCGGTGCACTCAAGACAAGCTCCAAACATGCCTGAAACACAAGTGTGAGACAAACTAAGTCACATGCATCTTTGATCCTGTCAGGACATAATCAGAATCACAGCTGGGAGGAGAGGAAGCGTGGGAGTGGAGCCATGTCGTCAGGCAGACTGTAGTTCTGCAGTTCGAGACAGCAAAACAACTTGGCCTTGAGCACTTTACCAGTATTAGCTTCTTACCTTTCTGGGTAAGGAGGTTCTGAGAAACAAACAGCAGTTCCCTCCTTCAGGTCCCTCTCCCAAAGAGTGGATCAGACCCCTGGTTAGCCCCCAGACTGAACCCACGCTACAGTTCATCCCAACTAGACAGGAGTCACATCTAAGCTCACACATCTACCCCACCCTACCCCTGACAGGGCCCCTCCCCTAGAGCCATGTGCAGCCCAGTTGCTTTCCTATCAGAAGCTGGTCCTGTAAATTCATAGTGAACTTGGATGTCAGGCTGTGTGGTGTGAGAAGGAAGCACAAACTTAGAGTAAGTCTATTGTGAGCAAAATGAAAGAGGCTTGAGGAGGTCCTAGGCTTCCGTCAGTAATTCCAAGGCCTACAACTGCCTACTCCTCAACCAGCAACAGCCCAGAGGCTGAGGGTCCTTGGAGATCTGGAGGTCTGAGCAGACCCAGGACTCCAGTGCAGCCTTGCTGCTGCACTTCTCTTTGGCGTTTGCTTGGAACTTTGTTTTTTATCTCTTGTGGCTTTTTTTTGTTTCTGTTTTCCAGAGTGGAGCACTTAAGGAACCGGACTCCAGCAAGACCCCACCTCAGCGGCCACCCCCCCAAGGTTGTTTACAGTATATTCTCGACTGTAATGGCATTGCAGTAGGTCCAAAACAAGTCCAAGCTTCTTAAAGTGATCAGTAGTTAATTTTTCAAAGCAGAAAAATTTAAGCCAAAAACAAAAAGAAGAGGAAAAAAAAAAAAAAAAGGAAGGTGGGGAGGGGAGCGGCAGACCCTCCGGATGGTGCCGCTGCTGTGTCCTCTCAGTGCTGACTGGACCGTTTCTCCTATGCAGTGTCTGCTCCTTGTCTGGTTGTTTACCTGTCGCTGTTTGTGCTTGTAATGCTTTTACGTTTTCTGTATAACTTGTGGTTCCAGGGCTGTTTGTCAACAGTGTACACAAGAATTGTGCCTCTCAAGTCCAGTGCGACTATCTTCTGGGTGGTTTGATAGTGTTTTTAAAGCATCACATAGCAAGGGGTGACATCTGCGCACAGGGTGGACGGGGAGAAACAGCCACCACCACAGAGAGACAGCCAGGCTTCTCTCCTCCCCCCCAGGCTCAGACTCACCTCCTCCCACTTACCTCCACAAGTGCTTGGGATCTTCAGTGAACTGTGTCTTACTTCTTCCCTGCATGACTAGGGTAAATAGATAGCACTTCTAAGAGATTTTCAAGGTCTACTTTTCATAGCTCCATCTGTTGAATTTGAAGGCATCCATCTTTTTCTCCATCCGCTACAATCTGGTGCAGTTTGAGTTTGTGTGAATAAGCTGGCTGTGCCTGTAGAGCTCTTGTGTTTTTAGTGATGAAATGCAAAGAACCAGCTGCTTCCAGGAATGTGTTCTGTATTTTATATACCTGTATTCCCTTCATTTTTGATTATTAACTAGATACAAGGTTAAAAAATAATAAGGGGCCGCCAATGTGCAATATCCAAGTGATTTCATTTTTTTCTGTGTGTTGATTCTTAGTGCCTGCAGTTGTTTCTTTGTTGTTGCTGTTTCTAAACTGGTCTCGTGCTTCTGTGGAACTGGGGCTGCCGCGTATTCCCCAAAGCTTGACCTGTGAACAAAACTGATTACCCAGCAGTGTTGAACAGTATACAGGGGATGACTGACAGTCTGAGAAGGGTTGATCCATCCCCAGGCTTCCTAACATGAGACCAAATCAGATATGTCTCCTGTCACCTAAATGGGCACTCTACCTACATAGCTCTGGGCTTGACCATTTTAGTTCTCAGCCTTGGCCTCTTTGGAGAACCAAAGCTTTCTGGAAAAATCTGGCTTAAGTGTCAGTGTGTGTTTGTTGGACAGAGGCTCCATACCTTGGAGAACCATTGCCAGAGTGTCTGTCCTTCTGACAAGGAGCCTTGGCAGACGATGTTCTTGTTAATTAAGCCAGAACTCGAGGGTCAGGGCCTCATCTTGCCATCTGTGAGCAAGGCTGGGAATGGGTTCCAAGTGGCCTTCTCCAGTCCCACAGCCCGTATGGGAGCTCATGGCAGCAGTCTGCCTTTTAGAAGAAATGCTTCTGGCTCTACTTTTACATTCCCCACCTTTGCAGTGGCATGCCAGGTACTGGGCTACCAGGTCTGAGGAGTGAGCAGTGTTGCTTGTATGTAACTGAGTCAAGGGTCACATGCCCTGGCTTCTCTTTGGTTTCTGGAAAATTCTGAGGCTCTATAAAAATGTGTATAGTGTGAATGTTGTCATCTGTGACCCTTCCCTTAGATAAAGATGGTAGTCAATCAGTTGTAAATATATACATATATGCATATAGGCACTTCCAGGTGGGTTAAGAATCAGGCCCTTAAACACCTCCTAGTCTAAAGAGAGTAAAGGAATGTTTCCCAAAATGAAGGGATACATTTTTTGTTTTTTATTTTTATTTTTTATTTTTTGTCCAAGTGGTGAGCTGATGGTGATGTTGCTTCTCTGCATGTTATCAGTGTGTTACATCCAGGTGCTTTCCATGTGACATTTGTGAGCCACAAATACAAAGTTGCCATTTGAATTCAGTCAGTCTACAGGGTGTTGTCAGCCAAGGCCTCTCAGGTGGGGGTTAGATGCTGATTACAGCTCCCACTGCCACACGCAAGCAGACAGCATCACCTGACTATCAAGTGCCCTCAGGCAGCATGCTAAGGGACAACTCTGTGGCCTGGGGGGCACTTCTGTCACAGTGTAGGGTTTCTGTTCAGGTGTCCTGTTCCCATTTCTTTTCCCATGTTGTCCCCCCCCATTTTGTATGATCTGGCTGATCCTCAGCCGATACTGGAAGTGTGATGAAGCCCCCTCTTTTGTGATTCTCTTGTACAGCTCAATGTGCAATAAAGGAAAAGTTATATCTGTCTTCAGTGTTAAGTTGTAAAGTTTCTGGCTATTCGATTACCTCTGTACAGGTGGGAAAGCACTCAGGTTTGTGATACAAGAGGCTGAGCTATCCACCTGAAAGAAACGCTGATGCAGTAACAATGCTAATGAAGTAATAGTCTTGGCATCAGACTTCAGGGGGCAGAAGCTGGTTAACATGAGATAATTGGCTGGTCGTGTAGTTACCTGATGTGGCTTTGAACTCCTTATACATGCAGAATTCCACATATTTTACATATGTATTTTTTATATGTAACATACCCTGCTATTAATTGGTGACTGATGATAAAGGGAAGCCCATGCCACATAGAAGGGAAATGAGCTGGTAATTCTGGGTGTGCAGTAGTGTAGACACACTTCTGCCTCTGCAGAGGACATAGGAGTGTTCTGATTTCTAGGAAACTAACAGGGCCAGTTTTAGCTGTGGCAAGCACATGAGTGTAAACTCTGGAATTGAGTTGAGAAACTGGATTTTCCAGGACAACTAGGAATCATTTCCATTAGTCAGTGTGTGCCCATGGGTCATCTTTTGACTTAAAAGATGTGCAGATCCCCTTCTGAAAAGTATGAACTTACTGATTCCACACTTTCTGTCCTTCACCCCTTAGACAAAGGAAGGCTTTTTTCTCAACAGGCCATCTATCTGATGGTTCTGTGTTTCATGTTGGGTAAAAGGTGTACTGTTATTAAGGGGGCTGTTTGCCAGATGGTGCCCACAACATCCCTGGGGGAGCTTGGGGTTTGAATGTCTGAAGAATTTCCCCACACACCTGAGCAGTTTGTCATGCTGGGGCCCCTGAGGATGGCACTCAGGTAAAGAGGGCCTGGGAAGAAAGGATTGATCCTGGTCGTGGGAGTTAATGCGCCAGTGGAGCCCAGGTGGGATGGGTGTGGCAATCAGACACCTGCAGTCTTGGAGCAGGATGAAGGCAGCTCCATGGAAACAATGTCAGTCACGGATGAGCTTAGGCACAGAATCATTTCTAAACAACTTTCTTGTCCGCTATCATCTTTGAAACAACTGCTATCTTTAAAAGATAATTGTAGGACTTTTAAATGATTTATGGTTGGAGAAACTGAGGCCCAGAGAAGCTTGGCATCTTGCTAGGGATAGTGTCACAGGTAGATTTTTTAAGTGTTCTGATTCTAGTGTTTGTCCCCTGCTCTCTCCTGCATCTTCTGTGTGGATCTGGGGGTTTTTAGGAATCCTTAGAGCAAGTGGCTTCTTCCTGGGGACTTCTGGGAAGCAGAACGGAGTCCCTCTAGTCTGGAGGCCTTCTGTAAAGGAGCTTCTCTCTGTGGGGCTTCCCAGTCCTCTGCCTTCTTCCCTGCCCTTGTGCCTTCTGCTGTGACTAAGTTGTCGAAGCTCTGAGGAGCATTGAAGAGTGATGATGTCTTGTCTAAGGACTCCCTTCCCAGCCCTCAGAGCCTTGGGTGGCTTATCCTTTTAGCAATGATCTAACCACACCATTTGAGATATAGATTCTACTAAGGAAACCCTTTGAGATGGTTAAATTATGAAGTTTTTCTTGTACTGAACCTAGGGGGTCCTGGGCAACCCCAAGGAATGCAGCCCCCAGGCAAGGTGCTGCCTCCACGTCGGCTCCCCTCGGGACCATCACTGCCATCTTCTTCCTCTTCCTCCTCCTCCTCTTCTTCCTCTTCCTCGGCTCCTCAGAGGCAGGGCGGCCCCACCGCCACCCACGGAGATGCACCCTCCAGCAGCAACTCCCTGGCAGAGGCCCCACCGCCCCAGGCTGCTGCATCACAGAAGCCTCAGGCTCACCCGCAGCTCAAGTAAGATAACCCAGCAGTTCCTTACCCCTTTTCTGTCCCTATTCCTGGGCTGTGGGCCTCTGACCTGAAACAGAACCACCTTCAGGTTGCCACAGATAGTTGGTGATTCGGGGGAAGGGTTGGTGGTGGTGATAGTTGTGGGTGTTTGGTTTGTTTGTTTTTTGCTGTGTGAGAGGAGAATGCCTAGAGTGACTTGGAAGGGGAGAAAAGAGGGAAATTAAATTTTGCCTCAGGTTGAGCAGGATGCCCACACCCACTGCTTTCTTCAGGAGGAATTGCAGCAGGTACTGATCCACCTCTGTCGAGCCTCTTGCTAACTTGGGGCTCCCACTCTTTTTTCCATGTGCTGTCTACTAAACTTAAAAACAAAGAAACAACAACAACAACAAAAAACCTTAAAGTCTTTCTGACTTCTGACTCAAGGGTATGCAATCAGCAAGGCTGCCCAAAAGTAAAGGGAGAAATAGTTAACTCCATGGCAACTTTTTCCTTCAGCTGTCTGGAGGAAGTGTAGGTAACAAAGGTGGCACCTTGGAGTTCAAAAGAGATCCATCCTCCTTGGTACCCTCATTCTCAAGGGTCAACCTGAGGGCCCCTGCACACTGTTCTGCTGCATAAAGAACTGTACATAGCCCTTAGGAAGCAGTAGTTCTGTCCTTGGGAGGGTGGCGTCAGTGTGGTCGGCTCCACCCACTCCACAGAGCCACACATGCTAGTTTTAATATCCCTATGCAGACTCTGTCATCACTCCTGGCAGAGATAACAGCAGCTCCAGAGATATCAGAGAAGTGATTCTCAACCTGTGGGACACGACCTTATGGGAGTCAAATGACCCTTTCACAGGTGTTGCCTAAGACCATTGGAAAACATAGATATTTTTGCATTATGATTTATAACAGTAGCAAAATTATAGTTATGAAGTAGCAATGAAAATAATTTTATAGTTGGAGGTCACCACAACACAAGGAACTGAATTAAAGAGTCACAGTGTTAGGAAGGTTGAGAAACACTGCTCTAAATGATGGACAATAGTGAATTTCCGGGGGGGGGGGGAGGGAGGCTGTGAACTTTCAGAGTCCAGGTGAGCAGCTGGGGATTGTGCACATAGAAGAAAACTTTTCTCAGAGCCACCAATTAGTGGCAGAGTTAGGGTTGGGGCTTGAGTGTCCAGATGCTCACTTCTCTGGGTCTTCTAGTCATACACATTGAAGAGGCATGACTACTTTTGTTCTCCAGCTCAAGGCAGTAGTACTTCTTCTTCTTCTTTTTTTTTTTTTTGGTTTTTTTTTTTTTTTTTTTTTTTTGGTTTTTCGAGACAGGGTTTCTCTGTGGCTTTGGAGGCTGTCCTGGAACTAGCTCTTGTAGACCAGGCTGGTCTTGAACTTACAGAGATCTGCCTGCCTCTGTTTTCTGAGTGCTGAGATTAAAGGTGTGCACCACCACCACCCAGCTTTTAGCAGTACTTCTTATATCCAACTTGCTGTGTCACCTCCTCAGTCCAGCAGTTTGTCCTTGCTGATTGGGATCATCACAGCTGCCCTGGCCCCAGTATAAAAGCAAGCCTCTGGTTTGTCATCGCCTCTGGGCTGAAGCTGATGAGCAGAGCCAGCCACTGGTGATAAGCTGGAGGCTTGTACCTAGTGCCCTCTGCTTGTGCATACAGAAGTCTCCTTCCTCAAAGGCCAGCATGCTAGGGCTTGTCACCAGCCCTAATGAAAGGCAGGACACCAGTCCACAGTCCCTGTGGGAGGAGAGAATGACATGCAGGTGGGATTTTCCTGGATGCACCCAGCATTTACAGAGGGATGGAGGTCCTAGAGGAGTCCTAGAGCCAGAAAGACCCAATGGGAGTCAAGAGACAAACCAGGCCACCAGGGAAGCCAAACCTCATGTTTCCTCCTGCATTGTGGTATTGGCTTCCCCCCAGTCCCCAGCCTTCACAGTTTTTCTTTCTGAATCACTTGCTATGAAAAGATAAATTGAGAGAGAGAGAGAGAGAGAGAGAGAGAGAGAGAGAGAGAGTGTAGAAGTAGTTGGTTTTTTTATTATAATTTTGCTTAATAATCGTGGCCCAATAAAGTATCTCTTTTACTCCTATATACCCTGAATCCCTCAAACCTCATATCAAGGTTCCTCTGAGGAAGGCAACAGGGGTGACTGTGATCACAGTAAGAACAGGGACATGGTGCTAGAGTTGTAGCTCTATCAGTAGAACACTTGCCTAGCATACACAGAGCCCTGGGTTTGATTCCCAGCCCTGCATAAAACATGGTGTGATGGTACATGCCAATCATCAAGCACTTAGGAGATAGAAGCACAGGGGTATACTCAACTATACAGGGAGTTCAAGGTCAGCCTGAGCTACACGAGATCCTATCTTTTAAAAAAATGCAAGACCAGGGAAATGGAGGCATTAGACTTTGTGGGTCAAGCTGAAGCCATTAGACTTTGTGGATCAAGCTGAAATAACAGAGAAATAGGAGGAACCAAGAGGACCCAGAGGTCATCATTCTACCAAAATCTTCATGCCACATATGAAAAGCCAGGGCCAGAGTGACACATGGCTTGCCTGAAGCCAGACATGACTTTGTGGCAGAATCAAGTCTCTGAAGTTGAGTCCATCTTGACAGTTGATGAAAAAGAGAAGCCAGGTGCCCACAAGTGCAGGTGTCTTCTTTCATCAAAGGAAAAGGGTGTGATATGCCTAGATCCATACTTAGAAGTTGGGGACAGAGCCTTTGAGTCACCCACTCTTCCTGTTTTCCCTTGTGCTTTTGCCCTTCTCTCTGGTCCCCAAGCTGTTCCCATCCTTCCTGTTTCAGCAGTACTGAAGGTGGGGAAGTAGCCAAGGACTTCCTAGTGCCTAGCACAGCCCTCTCAGCCACCTCCTGCTACCCTGTTCTACCTGGGGAGGGAGAGGGGAGTTCTTGTTGTGCACTGTCGCATCACAGCCCTTCGCTGCCTTACTAGGAACACCCTCCTCATGTTCTCTCTGGTTTTTATCTTCAAGCAAGTCGCAGTCCCTGACAAATGCGTTCAGCTTCTCTGAGTCCTCCTTCTTCCGGTCTTCAGCCAATGAGGATGAAGCCAAAGCCGAGACCATCCGGAGCTTGAGGAAGTCCTTTGCCAGCCTCTTTTCAGATTAGCTCTTCAGATACACGAGGGCGCCCGGCCCAACCAGGAAAGGCATCTAAGACATTCATCAACAACAGTCTGCCATGTTTGGTGGCAATGTTCCATGACTTGACATGTGTGGTCCCTTCTTCTGTTCCTTTGTGCTCAGTAATTCGTGCAGCCCAGGAATGACCAGGTGATGGTCTCAGGGCAGGTGCCTACCCTGAGAGGGACTGACAGGAGAGGAAAGGGCTGTTTCCCTGTAGTCTTAAGAGCTTTATTCTGAAGTCATTGTTGCTGTGAATTTAGTGGCCTTATTGTGACAGAGCCATTGTGTCTTACTCTTCCCTGTGAAGCCAGGATCTCTGTAATGGAGTACTCCTAGCAGCTTAACCCAGCTCAGATGCAGAGCTAAGCATGTCCTTGTAGTCAGTGCTACCTGTGGGAAGAATGTACTTGCCTAGAAGTACCGTTGGCTCTGAGTTTTAGGAACTTTCCCCAAAGCTGGGTGTCCTGTGACACCCGTTGAAAGCACACTCACCAGACCCTCTGCTCCCTAAACTGCTGTGGTAGTGAAGTTCCTGTGTCTGTTGAACCAAGAGAACCAGGACTGCCGTGTCTCCTCTCTCCCCTCCAGAGAGCACTTCTGTTGTGTGAACTGCAGTAACCTTGGCCTCCCAAAGCTGCTCTGTAGAAGAGAATGCATGCCGCTATAACAGCAGTCGCCAGCCTTTGTGTTCCTCACCTAATGAATGTCAAGATCTTGGTGTAATAAAAGCAGCAGCATTAACCGGCATTTGATTCAGCCCTGAGGTTCCCCTATCTAGGTTGAGCACATACATGGGGCATGCAGGTGTGTTTGTGAGTAGGGAGTGAAAAGTCCAGGAGGGTAAAACTGCTGTTGTTGGGTGTGTGTGTGAGACAGCAGGTGTATGTGTCTGTGTTGAGAATGTGTCTATACTTTAAATCACATACTGACACTCCTTACAGCTCCCCAGTGGATCCGCCTCCTCTAGAACGGCTAACTTACCATCAACAGCTTGGCATTTCTACCCATTTGATTCAATCCACAGAGTCTAATCTGCATAGCACCCCTGCTTGCATATCAGCCAAGTTAGACCCACTCTCCCATCTTTCATCAGTATCCTCAGCTAAAGTCCACAAGGTAGAGCAGAAGCAACCGACTCTAGTGAATGTGGTCCCACAGCTGTAGCTCAGCAGGCCTGCTGCTCAGAAGGCCTGCTGCTGGGGCAGGCTCTGAGGGATTTTATTCCGACATCTTCATGATTCTCTGAGGGTGTTTCTAAAGACTACTCATGCTCTGAAGATAAATTCCACATTTACACATGTTTAAGAAAAATCAGTGTGTTAGCATTTTAGCTACATAATTCCCTGGATTGACATGAATTCAACAAGTTAACACTCCTAAAAATGCCACTGTCTGGCCCCTGCTCACAAGCAGGGATTCCAGGAAGTCAGAGAATGGATTTTGGTGGTGCCAGCTCTCCTTTCTGAGTCACATTTATCCCATGTTTTAGGATCTAAGGACCGAGGCAAGTAAGGCAAGAAGTAGAATCCCACCTCACCCATTGAATGGCACTTGATGGGTGATGTCCATCCATCCTTCCTTCCACGGTACACATACTTAGGGTACAGACAGCCAAATGAAAGACAAGGGGAGTCAGAATATATCTCTCTCTCTCTCCCCTCTCTCTCGTGGGGATGGATCCCAGGGCCTCAGGGCCTCACTCATGCTAGGCAAGTGCTGTGCCTCTACCTGCATCCTAGTGAAGGAGAAGGGTCACAAATCTTAGGTTTTGTTTGAAGAAATGACAGCAAGTCAAAATTCAATAACTCGTTTAAGGTCATCCAGTTGGTCAAGTGGTAGAACTAAGATTGAAACCCAAACAACAGGGGCTCTGTATGTGGCTCCTTGGGAACAGCACCTGCTACACAAGTATGAAGATCAAAGTTTGGATCCTCAGAACTCATGGGAATAAAAACCAGGTGGGTGTGGTAGCCTTCCTATAATCCTAGTGTGTGGGAGGCAGGGACAGGGAATCCCTGGAGGAAACTGTTCAAGATTCGGCCAGAAACCCTGTCTCAATATATAAGGTGGAGAACAAAGAAGAAAGACATCTAGAATCAACCTCAGTCCTCCACATGTTCACACATATGCACGTGTCCCTGTATACATGTGCTCACATGTAGATGCATACACATATGTACACTGCAAAGAGAAAGCCAAGCAATAGGGTTCATGGTCTTAATCACTTTGCTATATTTTAATCAATCTTGCAGGGTCAATAAGAAATAATTTTATCATTTTTTCATAGGGTAACTATATAATAAAGTGTATACAAACCTAGCCAAGGGTGGGCTTGTCACCAGTGTTGACCCATTGGCCTAAAACTATGAGTAACCTGCACTGTGTGTCTTATTCTGTTCAAATATAATTCTGGTTCTTAAAAAATTACTCATTCTTCCACATGTGATGTCAAAACCAAAACCACAAGTAGCTTATTTAGAAAATGAGTCACCCTGGAAGGACTGTTGGGGTAACAAAAAGGGGAGGCACTTACCACAGTCATGCAGTACCCTAGTCAAGGGATACAGGGATTCTACCCAGCCCCTACTAATAGATCTGGACCAGAGGTGGGGGTGTCCCATTGAGAAGCAGACTTCTTGGTATTTAAAAAGATGATCACAGAGTCTTGGAAAACAGTACCACACAATGGTCAAACATCCAGTGAATAGTGTGAGTCAAATGATCAAAGGTTGGGTCAAATGGTTGATGCTAGTCTGCTGTAGATTCCCAAGCCTTTGGTCTGTAGGCCAACTGGCTGCCATGTAGATTAGATTACCTCTCTGTAGCTTATTGGAATTTTCTCTGACATCCTCAGCACAGATGAGCAAACAAAAAGCTTCATCTCTGCCCTTGTGGGGCTCCCCACCACCCAGATCAAGGTGAATAAATTCTGTTCATTATGTATTTGTTGGTAATTCTTTATTGTGTACTTATTAAGCTCAACAAATTTCATGGAAGAATTTAAAACTGAACTACCCAAAGTTTCCACATTCACAAAATCCACAACTATTAGGGGAGATGATGTAAATAGAAAAGGCAAGTGTACTGTCTTAAGGAATGCAATCATGGTGTCAGCTTGGAAAATAATAAAGCTTGGTAGCGATCGATGAGAATGTGGGAAACTCTACCCTTATACATTGCTGGTGGGAGCATGTGTGGTCACTACATCCAGTGCCCAGCTATGCTTCAGGAATCTCATTTCTGAACACTTCTAGGGACTTGATCAACAAAAGGAAGCAAAGGAATCCTGGTTGCAACATGGAAAAACAAACAAACAAACAAACAAACATGGAAACAAACAACTGTCCCTCATGAAGGAATTAAATAATATATTGTGACTCATTCATAAATAAGACTACTTTATGATTTAAAATATGTGAGGAATTCAGATGAGTTCTGATAAGATATGGAAAAAGAATGAGTAAGATGAGTTACGCCAGTGTAAGATGGACAACAAGCTGTACGTGTCTCAGTGGAGCACATGTCTAGCTCCAGGTCAGAAAAACCTACACTGTAGGTAGGAGAGAGCTGGGAAGAGTCCACAAGATTGGGAGGCCTGTTTACTGGGGGAGGAGTGAGTGCAAAGAATTTGGAGTTTTACAGCTGAAAGCAGCAATTAGCCTTACCACCTCTTTACAGACGAGAAAATTGAGGCTCAGGCACTTAGGACATTTACCACAGTTTTGAAGGGTGTTAGTGACATAGACAAATAAATGAACTTTAGTCCTGTCTCCACGGTCATTTAGAACATGTCCTTCCTGAGACAAATGAAATGGAGAGGTGTAACATTTCTAAAGAGAGGTGTATCAAGGCAGGTAACAGGCCAGGAGGAACTGGGAAGACAATGTTAGCTGGTGGCAAGAGCCTGAGTCAAATCTGAGTTTGTACCCAGGCTCTGCTAATTATTGGCTAATTGATTTGACCTTACAAGTGATTAGCTTTTCTGTCTCAAGTTTTCCTTTCCTTTCCTGGGTGAGTTTCAGGATTAAATGAGCTAAATGCCTGCTACCAACAACAGCTATTTCTAAGACCATCATAATAAATTCCACCTCTGTCTATCTCAAAGAACACATTTGTCAGCACCCAGACCCCCTTCATATGACTCCTCTCAAGGTAGCCAAATGCCTTTCTCCAGCTCCCAGATTAGTGAGCCTCTAGGGCAATTTAAACCCAGCTGAAATGACCCGAGGCTGTAGCTGTTGACCACAATTAGAGTTGAGGGTGGACACCTGGAGAAACAGATGCTGTTGCTGCCAGGCTTCCCACTGGCAATGATAAAGTGTGAGTGCACAGATACACACACATCAGTAACCTTGCAGGCATAGAAATAAAAATCTCATTAAAAAGAGGGTCTCACTACATAGCCTTAGTTGGCCTTAGAACTCACTACATAGACCAGGCTAGCCTTAACTCACAGAGACAGACCTGCCTTTGCCTCCCAAGTCCTGGGAGGAAAGGATAGGCACCACTATGCCTGGCTAATAGTTTTTCAGTTTTTTTTTCAGATTTATCTTTCCATTTTTATTATTTTTAATGTGGAAGTATGTGGGGGAGGGCTATATGTGAATGCTGGTGCCGAAAGAAACCAAAGAAATCCCTCTGGGAGACTAAACATGTATTCTATCCAGACTGCTGCTTAGGCACAGAAAATAATTGCCTTCAGATCTGTCGTAAGTAGATTATTTGAATTTTCTGTGACTTTTGGAAGATCAGGAATTTTAAACCTAGAAATCCAGAGATTTCCCTCATAAACTCTGTGCATTCTCTGTGTATTTTAGCAGAGTTATGACACACAGGAAATAATGAAGAATTGTCATTTTAGGGATTAAATTAAGATTTAAAGGAAACAGTCTCCCTGGGAATCAAATTGAAGGGTTGATCTGTATTATAATGCGAGGTCCAAAGCATGATATGACCATAAATGTGTGAGAAATTTTTAAGACAGGGTGTCATAATTGAATGCTCTGTTTCCACTCATATGTCTCCATGGACTTCAAGCCTGTGAACTGTAAATATGTAGAAAAATAATGCAATTAGTCATTCCTCCTGGTTTATCCTCTTACTGAACACCCCAATCAGTTTGAGAATTTGCAGTTTCTCTTATGGTCACACATACTATATCCACTAGTCCACAGGGCTGTATTTTCATGTCTCTTCTTACTTTGTTGACCCTATTCCCCATCTATTTTTATCAGGATTATAACCTGATGGACGGGGTGGAAGGGGCTATCAGAGACCTGGTACAGAGGCTTCACCCCATTTGCAGATGAATGATCCCTAAGGAACACTCCTCTGGTCATTTTCAGGCTCTTCCATATCCATACCCATCTCTTCTGATAAGAATTTCCACCCGTCAGCTAACTCCTCCAGGCAGCCCTCAGCAGAAAGTCACAACTACTCTAGCAGATCCAGTTAAGTTCCATGACCCTGGTTTAAAAACAAAAAAACAGAAATTTCTAGTTCTAAATCTAGTTTTCAGGGGAAGGTTGGCACTGTTGGTTTAGTCCTAGGACAGCAAAGGTTTGAGTTCTTGAATCTCTCTGAAAGTCTGTGGTTATGACAGGAAATCATTAGGCCCATAGACAACTCCAAAAAGGATGAACTACCAAAGAGGAGATCTCAAACCACCCTGGTCCCTGATTAGCTGTGGCAGTGGACTGGAATAAATTTAGGCTGTTCTTAGGCCTTGAAGTTTCACTAAGGCTGATACACCATAACTCTAGAGAGTCTTTGGGTTTGAATAGTTAACATTAATACAAAGGGTACAGCTTGCCTAGCATGCACAGGGCCCTGGGTTTGATCCCCAGCACTGTATATGGGTATGGTGGGGGCGAACTCAAATCCTCAACATTTGTGAGATGAAGGTGGGCTGATTAAAAGCTCAAGGTCATCTTTAGCTACATAGAGTAGGGTGTCCCAGGCTACATGAGGGACCGTCTCTAAGGCAAAAGAACCAGCATTACAGCAAACAACTATTCAATATAGTCCATATAACGTTAGAAAAACAGCCAGTTATTTCTTCTTAAGGACCATTCTTTTGTTCTGCTGGTTTTCCATATTAGGGCCTCAGTCCATATCTCCACTGTCATAGCTTTTTCATGGGGCTTCCTGCTGAACTCTCCTACCCATTTTTACCAGACACACTCTGTTTAAAATATCTGACCTTGTCATTTCCCTGATCAGAATCTTCTCAGTGAATCCCCAGGCTTAGGAAGCAGAGTTCAAACTCCTGAACTTGGTCTTGAAGGCCCTCTGGAGAGTAATCTCTATTTCCCAGGGAGATAGCATGGCCAGTGGTTAAGTAAGTGGGTTGGTGTTGGTCCTGGGTCTACTGCTCGCCAGCTGTGAAACCTTGGCAGATGACTAAATTCTAAACCTCAGCTTCCTCATTAGCCACACCTGCCTCCTGTGGTTGTTGTAAAGATTAAATGAGATAGTATATCCCAAGTTTCCCAGGGTAGTCCCTGACACAGAAGAGGAAGACCTTGGAGCTGTCTGCCTCTCATCAGTGCTGTTTTACAACTTCAGTCACAACTACATTGATAGAAACTTCAAGATACTTGTTTATGTCTTTTTGCACCACCCAAAGGCTCCCACCACTCTGCCTTTTATCAGCCCCTTGAAATTGAGTGTGTGTGCATTCATTCGTGTGTGCGTGTTCATTCCTGCATGCGTGCGCCAGCACGTGTGTGTGTGTGTGTGTGTGTGTGTGTGTGTGTGTGCTCATGAGTGCCTGTATGTGCGTGCATGCACAGAATGCATGTGCAAGTCAGAGGACAATTTGCAGAAGTCATTTTTTTCCTTCTACCATGTGAGTGAGTCTTAGGGATCAAACTCTGGTAAGGCTTGGTAGCAAGTGCCTTTACCTGCTGAACATCTCAATGGCCCTGTGTTTTTCTTTTTAATTGGGTCCCTCACTGAGCCTTGGGCTTACCCCTTCAGCTAGGGATCCACCCATCCCCTCCTGCATGGCTACAAATGCACACCCCAGTGCCCAGATTTCACATGGTTGCCAAGGATCTGGATTTGGGTCCTCATGCTGTGTAGAGTCTTAAAGTTTCTATTGCTGTGAAGAGACACCCTGACCACAGAAACTCTCATGAATGAAAACATTTAATTGGGGCTGGCCTGCAGCCCAGAGGGTTAGTCTGGAAGTATGGTGGCACACAGACATAGTGCTGGAGAGGTATCTGAGAGTTCTACATCTGGATCCACAGGCAGCAGGAAGTGACAATGACACACTGGCCAGGCTTGTGCTTCTGAGACCTCAAAGCCAACCCCCTAGAGACACACCTCCAACAAAGCCACTCCTACTCCAAAAAGGCCACACTTCCTAATTGTGCCACTCCCTATGGGCCTAGGGGGGTCATTTTTATTCAGACCACCACATTTAGCAAGCACTTTACTCACTGAGCAGCCTCCCCAGCCCCATTACCCCATTATTATTTATTTTTAGTGTTATATATGCACATGTGCATGTGTGTGTGTGTGTGTGTGTGTGTGTGTGTGTGTGTGTGTGTGTGTGTGTGTGCTTATATGAGTGAGGGTACATGAGTGTGCTTGCCAGTGAACCTATAGACCAGAGGTCAGCCTAGGGCATTGTTCCTCGGGTATTGTCCACCTTGTTTTTTGAGAAAAAACTGGGGATCATGTCCAACATCTACACTTTGCCACCTGAGTCCCAGTTCTGTTATTGATTTTTAGCATTAAATTGTTTCTTCAGCTTTCTTCAAAGGCCTGGTATACATCTGAACCCCTTGTTTTCCACAGATATTTTTACAAAGATTATCAGAGAGTTAAACTGAACAGTGAACATCTTGTACCCCCTGCCTACATGTACAACTGACACGTCCTTATCCTCGATTCTCCCACATGTATGCTTCACACTGCACCTGACAGGCTGG